CAGCAAACCTAACACAGACCCCTGTGGTACTCCATTAATTACACCACTCCAGTTCAAGGTTTTGTCCCTTATCACTGCTCTATGCATTAACTGGCTCTCAATCTATTTACATATACAGTATTAGCATTGATTCCTTATGCCGTTCAGCTTTAGAATCAATCTTTTATTTGGATAATTATCAAAAACCTTCTGGAAATGTAAATATACTATATACATTATATACAATATATAACACTTTGCTTGCGCAAAGTGACATAATTAATTACATACAGTAGGATCTGTCTTTTCTAACTCATGCTGACGCATCCTCATGAGATTATTAATATCACTGATTTGCATTTCAGTTCAACTATTGAGTAACCCCAGAAAGGTCCTGTATAATGATTCCTGAATATCACTCTTCTTTTCTTAGAATGCAATTAGAATCATACTGTATAGCCTAAGAGATTTATTGGTTTAAAACACTCTTAATCCCTGTTATACTTCATCTTCTGTTATACTGAGATTAATCAGAACTGAATGTTTTCCTACATTAACCTGAGGCATAGTCTCAGTACCCTTTTCAGGGAATATTTGTGTAGTTTACTCATTCAAAATATGTGCCTGAAAAATTATACTCATGATTATAATAGGATATTATACTGTATGACTGACCATTTCACAAAATAGTTCCACATTGATTTTATTCCAATCCAGTGTCCAGTGTTAACTTCTTATTGTACTGTACACCCACATTGATGCATCTTGCATCTTTGCTCACATTCACAGGTTTCTCTTTCGTCTTTTCAACATAAAGTGATATTATTCAGGAAATTAATCTCATACTCTCTCATCCCCAATTCATACTTTGAGCCTGAAAAAGCGCACACTGTGGGTGTATTATGAATAAGAGACTTTCACAGGCTTAAAGCCTACATCATAAAAGATAAATAAACCAGTGATTGAAAGAGAAAGTGAAAATCACTTTGAGGTTAGTTAAATAGAAACTGCAAGATGCAAAAGACTGGCAGATGCATCTTTTATATCAGTTACTGATAATTTTATTTTCTTTGGCTTTTCTGGTAGTGGTGGGGAAGTTCAATGATTCAGTCAACTGCAGGGGACTGAACTTACACACTGTGTAAATGTGTCTTTTCCTCTCCGTTTCTCTGTAGGTTCAAACCACCACCATGTGTATCTCTGTCAGCCTGAGTGGATCAGTGGTCCTGGGCTGCCTCTTTGCTCCTAAGCTGCATATCATCCTGTTTCAACCCCAGAAGAATGTGACAAGTCACAGAGTCGCAATCAACCGGTTTAGTGTCACTGGCCCAGGATCTAGCTATTCACATGGTAAGTAAACAGAAGCAAAAAACAGATATTTTACTAAAAAATATTGTAGCAATACAGTCATGAATAAAGCTGTTTTATTCTTAGAGTCAAATAGTTTACAGGGGTCAGCTTTAGTACTTATTTATGAGGCAGTAAAACAAATGGAGTTAAAGCTAATTATGGACTGTACTGTATGTCTATTCAGATGAGAAAATGTTAAATTCAAGTTAATTCTGTAACTTTGACACCCTGAATGAAAAGTAGACATCAACCCATTGAATATTGCCACTCCCAGGGCAGAGAACTGAGCATTAATATCAATACTACCAATAGCCTAGTGAGGACTATCACCCTATCACTACTGATTCCCATGTGGTAAAAGAAAGCTGGTACAGTTTTGACACTTCCTCTTTCATTGATGAACACTGCATAGGGACTGCCAAATTCAAATTGACCGCTACTAATTTCTTTCAAGGAGTTTCACTTCTTTCATTTGGAGGAGAATCCACCAAACAGTGGGGCAGTATACCAATAATGTCACATTGTAGGCCTGGTGGAAAATGTGTAACTGCAGCAGGAATAACTCAACATCAGGGCTAGGGTGCCACTCTGTGTCTAAAACAGAACACACCATCAAATGGCTTAAAAAAACAGACACAGTCATGCAGTTGAAAAGGTATGCCGAGTATCCCAGCTAGCTATAATAAATTAGCATTGATCAAAGCTGTCTTACTCTGACAGTATAAAATGTGGGACATGTAGACATGCTACATGGGCATAGTTAGTAATCATTTACGAAGCAGTAAAACAAGATAATTATGAACAATTTTACTTCGTCAGTTGTGTAGTTGTTAGAAGCACTCTGAATACTGACCATGATGTTGCCATGTCCATGGGAGGTGGTGACATGTGCTTTTGCAGCTGCAGTTTCATTAGGGTCTGAACTGATACTTTTGAACTGAAAGAGAAAAATAACACTGACACCAGATTCTGATATTGGGTCAAATGCCACTGCTGTTATAATGTCTGTAGAAATGTGTTTTAGCCCTCTGGATAATAGCAGCAATGGCTGATGACAAGCCTAGAGCCATCTAATATTCCCTTTCATGGACCAAACTCATAGCTCCTGCACTATCATGTCATTGAGAAATGGTGCCTTGAGCATGAAACACATCTCTGCTCGAATCACAGCTGATAGTGTGGACAATTGTGCAACAGGGCATCTACAGTACACCCAGTGGGTCAACTGCATCCTTTATCTTTCACATCAGTCTTTGGCCTTGTGATGAGAAGTGATCTATGTTTTCCTTCTTGATGGGATCCCACTTGATGGACTGCATCACTGATGCATCCTACAAGGGAATTAAGGTGGGGTTGAGTTCCTCTTCATGACTGAAGTGGAACAAAACTGTTTTGTTGTTCAACTGTATGAACACAGCAGGTCCATAGCATCAGGAGAAAGTGCTGAAGGACAAGAAACTGTAGGGCTAAATTTCCAGTGTTGATGTGTATGCACTGTCAGCATTCTCTGCAAATGCTGTACAAAATCCTCCTGATGTATTCATGTTTCAGGTGTTTGACCAACCCTACAAAATATCCTTCCAAAGGGAAAGATTGGTGAAATCCATCAACTAGATCTAGCAGCCTGAGACACTATGACAGTCCCCATCTTCTCTAGCCTTAGATAGGAAATACCTGTGACAAGAGATGTGTTTTTATCATGAGAGTCTAAACAGAAGCAGCTCTTTTGCAGGCTAACTGTAAGACTGAGCTACTAAAGATGGTCAGTGATACAGTGAAGCCAGATCCCTGGAAAATGTGTAAATAAATCACTTGGCCAGATAATTCAAAATTCACCGTAGCATTTATGGAAAACATAGGTGAGAAACCAACCATAACAAAGCATGGAAAATGTATCATTATTATAAGGAGAAACAAAAATACTGTACTTCTCCTGATTGGGGTGAACAGGAATAAGAAAGTATTACTGTATGTCCACTGCAGTGAACAAGTCATTCAGATGGAGAGATTGCGGCAGTGCTTTTGTGAGAGCACTCAAAGGGAGTGTAATGGACCACCAAGTTGCATGAAAATGCTATAAGGTTTATAGCAGTGATTCCTAATACTGGTCCTGGTGACCCACATACCTGTTGGTTTTTGTTCCAGCCGGGCCTTCAGTTACACAGTCAAACTCTTCATTGACTTAGGAACGAGGAAGAAGTGCAGCCGAAGATTGTGTAAAAGAATCATTTATTGAGTTTGTGGAAACTTGGATGAGGGCCAACCTCCCTGCCGTAGGATGGGAGAGGTTAGGAACCGCTTACCCAGTGAAGACATGAAAAATGAAGGAAGAAGAGGAAGAAGAGAGGGTGACATGGAATATAGTATATGGAAAACTAAGGAATTGAGTCAAGATTAGTTGTGGGTTGCAGCAGCTGAGCTTCATCTGGCTGCCTTCACTCCTCCAGAACGTTAGATAAAACAACATAAATATTAATTTGTCTGCTTGTTCCCAGTTCTTAAACATGTTGGAACGTGAACCTTTGTATTTTGTAAATGAAATAAAGTACCAAACTTGTGACTAGAAACAAAAGGCAAATATTCAATTGAAGAAAAGTAGGGCTTCAATTATCTAATTAAGGTGGGATGGAACGAAACCCAACATGTATATGGGTCACCAAGACCAGGATTGAGATCCACTGGCTTATAGGGAAAAGGAGCATGGAGCTGCAGGCTAGATCACCAACAGACAGAGCAGCAGGCAGTAAAATCCATACCCATGCATGACCAAAGATAGCACTAAAAAGAAGTTTGTTTCTTGCCTTGGACAGGGAACCAGAGCATAGATTAACCTGAGGGAGGTGCAATCGAGCCCACTTCCAGTTGGATACAGACTCAGTCAATGAGCTAGACAGATAAAACCCTGCTAAGTCACTTAACTGTGAGGAAAGTAAAGAATGTAGCCCTGAGGAGAAGGCGCAGAGATACAGTAGCATGCTTCTGAGCAGACTGCTAATGATGTTTATAGATAAGCTCAGTCCTCTGTCACTGGGAGCACATCCCATTGGTTTGTGGCAACTTTAAGGAATGAAATTGGAAGAAAAACCCTGTTTATACAGTACGTGTGTATAGTGCAAAAAGCCTTTACTAAGTTTCTTAATTCACTTAGGAGGAAAAAGTGTGTTAATATTTTTCTGCAATATTCAGAGGTTCTGTCTAAAAAGTAATGCAGCCTTTTCGAGAGTTTTAAACTCAACTTTCACAGGCAACACTGTGTGCCTACAAGATACCAAATCCAAAATTCCTGGAAAGGAATTAATCTAAATGGCATGCAGAAAAAAGAAATCCAACTATCAACATTTTCCTTGGTCATTTTTTTCTTTTCCTGCACACCTTAAAAGCACAGGTTTGTGTTGGCGGTGGTGGGCACCATTTGGAAAAGTCAGAAAAAGGATAAAAATACCCTAGGAAAGATGAGAAAATTCTGGGTTAATTTCAGTTAATTAAAAAGCTTCAGGTGGCTTTTTTATATAGAACACACCGCAAATCAATAAAACCAAACATTGTTTAATTTCTTTTTAGCCTCTGCCTCCAACTATGTGCCAACAGTCTGCAATGGTAGAGAGGTGGTAGATTCCACTACCTCTTCATTGTGAAGACGGATATAAACGTCCTTTGGCCAAATATATGAAAGTTACTATCACTAGTCAAGAATGAAGTGTTACAGTATGAGAATGTTTTTGCACAGAAGATATGATCTTCTTGTCCTGAAAAAGTGCTGTGAATACAATGTCCCAATTATTATTTTTGACTAGTACAATACATTTTAAATATCAGTATCCCTCCTTTTTAAAAAAAAATGTACACTTTATTTGAAACATGAAGTAAATGATAGATTAATCTGTTAAATGTATAAAAAAATGTTTTTAATGTAGATTTTTGTGAACCAGTTTGTGCTTTCTTGTAATTTATGTAAATAAAAGGTGTTTTATATGAATATTAAAAACTGTATTTGTGCAATGTCATTTTATTCTGCAAAGTTATTCAATCATTGGAGTGAGATTTTTGGTTTTAAACCTTCCTTCAGGAAGTACTGGCCTATTAAAACAATATTTCTAACAAAAAGCAATAGCCTTGACTTCTATACACAAAATATCAAGGCTCTAACTCAGTATAATGAATGAAGATTTGGTCTGTGATGGGAATATTTCCTATAGAGAAAGATATATCAGCAGACATTAAACCTGCTTCGAGTATATTTTGAGCATTCTTATTGTAAAAATAAGACACTCTGGACAGACCAATGGCATGTTCATAGCACAATAAAGTAGAAAAAATTCCATTAAAAAACACAGTGTGTATAGCCACAGAAAACAAAATGAACAATGATATTAAAGCCAACACTATTTTTGTTCCCAATATCCTGCCAGAAATGTTAAAGAAAATGGTATTACTGGTTAATCTGTGATGCTTCAGAGATCTAATATGTGGAGATTATTTTTGGTAAACAAAATATAATAATAATTTCTTACTTATAAAGCGCTTTTCTGGACACTCCACTCAATGCGCTTTACAGGTAATGGGGACTCCCCTCCACCACCACCACCACCAATGTGCAGCATCCACCTGGATGATGTGACGACAGCCATAGTGCGCCAGAACGCTCACCACACATCAGCTATCAGTGGGGAGGAGAGCAGAGTAATGAAGCCATAGATGGGGATTATTAGGAGGCCATGATTGGTAAGGACCAATGGGAAATATGACCAGGACGCCAGGGTTACACCCCTACTCTTTTCAAGAAACACCCTGGGATTTTTAATGACCACAGAGTCAGGACCTGTGAGCAGCCCCTGCTGGCCCCACTAACACCTCTTCCAGCAGCAACCTTAGTTTTTCCCAGGAGGTCTCCCATCCAGGTACTGACCAGGATCACACATGCTTAGTTTCTGTGGGTTGCCAGTTGTAAGTTGCAGAGTGATATGGCTGCTGGCATATTATATGAGCATGGAGCAAACTGTGTTTAAGAGATTTTGAAAGATGAGCAGAATATCGAGGCATCAAAACCTGGCCATGGTGTAAAGCCACCAGTCCAAACATGCTTTACTCACCTATTCCAAACTCCATCTTTTTGTGGAATTATACTTCATATCATGCCAGTCACCAGTATTAATAATCTAAGCAATGATAACAATACCTCATATTCTATTTTGAAACCACAGAACCATTCACACTAGCTGCTGACACACAGCTATGTAGCAGACCAAGTTAAAAAATGAACTGCAGATCATTGGATGAGTGCAGTTTCTATAATAAAGGCAAACTATTACACTTGCTTCCGATGTCAAAACAAGGGTATATAACCTGTTTGATTTAAATAAAACATTTAATCAATGGGAGATACAAAAAGACCAATATTCCAATTTAATTCTGCATTGTATAACATGTTGAGTTGTATAACCAGGGTTGTGTGGAGAGTGAAGTCCTTTATTGCACATACAGGTCTTTATCTGGGTCACTTATTGGTCTCTTGTGGGGTCTTGTTCAGAACTCTTTTTCTTTAGTGGAATTATATAAATTCCATTCTTTGCTTCTTTGATTCTCCACCACCGGCCTAGCCTAGAAGACAAAAAGAGACACCATCAGTCTATCAGTAAAGGAGGGGAAAAAAGTTAACCAGTGCTACAAGCCTTTAGAAAACAGTCATCATCACCTGTACACTTTGCACATCTTTGTAAATATAACGATGGAATACATCAATGAAACAACAGTGCCATCTAGTGCAAAGCAGCTCTTTAACTCACAGCAAGTCTGCAGCAAGTCTGCACCTCTTTTCAACAGATTTATCCAGTAGCAGATAAAACATAGCTGCCACAAAAAAAATATTATTATTTTTTTTAGATTCAGGCTATGGCATAGTAACAAGATTCCCAAAGGACATCATTTCAAGAGGATTTTGGAATGGCACATTTCATACTGGTGTACACCTCAATAATTTCAGATTATATTCTTGCACCAATGCATATAAATTATTTGATTCCCTGAAGTGCACACATAAAAATCCACCAAGGTTTATTTAGTAACCCTTTAATAAACCAGTACATAAAATTTTAATTTGAACAAACATGCTGTATATACTAATGGTGACTTTAAGAATACCTTTATCTCTACATGTATAACTTGAACAGAGAGTCACTGATACTTGATCAGCTCTTATAGAGTATGCATCTCAAACCATCATACAAAAATAAATACAAAAAACACAAAGAAATGAAAAGATTTCATAAAAGAGCAAGAATGCATACATTACTACAAACACAAACACTTTAAATTTTGCCCAACAAATGTGGTCACGCCTGTCTCTTTATTGAATGTTATCGTATAGTTAGGATACAACACACTATTTAATTTCCAGTTTTAATGTATGTACCAGATGTTCATAATGTTCAAAACTTAGTACCTGTGCTCTTGTCCAACTCCAGCAACAAGGAAATCACCTGAACTTGAAAATTTCAAACTGTTCACAAAACCAACCTGATGGGGAAAAAACAAGGGAAAAGACAAAAAAAAAAGTGCTTTAACAACAAAGTGGACTGACATCTTTACTGACAAACTGAATTCCTCATGCAATAGTAATGAAATGAGTGTTAAGTATACAGTTTCTCCAATTAACTACTGCATCTTAAGTATTTCTTTACAATAAAAATAATGCATCAGTATTAATCTTTAACAAAACCTCATAAAAAGCAATAAAGCACTGAAAATTTGTTAAGGCTTATTTGTTAAGGTATGTTTGTGATTTAATTAAAGTACTAGCATTATGGCTGTCTGCAGATTTTTTTACTGAAGAATGCAAAACCGTTATCCATAACATCTCAATTTTCCCTTCTGATTCTTATGTTTAATAGATGCGATCATGTGTAATTTTTCACACAACACTTACAACAGGAATGCTGAAGAGAGGCTGCAAACTACGGAATCCTTCTCCACTTTTCCAGATTTGTACCTTGGAATTGTGAGAACCTATAAAAAAAGAAGAAAAGATCTTCAAATGACTGAACTTTGATGAAGACTTGTGTTTGCTAAAATGTTGACAAATGTTAAATCAAATTTATTTTGTAGCAGAAAAACAGTATGCCTATTTTTGACCATAAGAATTAGGAGGTTTATATCTGGACTTAACAATGGGAATTTTATCCAAAACTGAATATCACATCTTGTAAAAATAAGCCTAAGCAACGATAAACATCAGAGAACTGTAACAGTAAACCAGTGATGGTTTTGCATTATTCATCATGTACTTCAGCTTCAAAGAAACTCATGTTTGTAGTATGACAGAAAACCTTTCTATAACCCTTACTCCAAGTACAGTTAACAGTTCACAGAAACTCAGCACTAATTAAGAATTCACTTAATTTAGCAGCAATCGACCCTCTTCTGTTTCACTTAAGCTTTGAATTCTTCTTTGTGCCTTAAACGTTCTAGGTCAAAAAGATAAGAACTCAAATAGTATGAGTGGTCACCAGAAAGAGACAAGACTACATTTCCATCTGTACACAATTAGATATCCTTCTTTTATTTGTTACATTACTCTATGATATTTTTCTAACATTATGCAGATAAGGACACGGCACGATTTCTCAATTCTTTCTACAGTAAATCAATACTCCCAAGTCACTGTCTAAACTGTCCCCTACCCAAATGGTAAAAAAACCAACAGGAACAATGTCCGTGTTCATTTCACACCTAATTTTGTTACTGTGTTATTCGTACTCAAGGAAATTAGTTTTTTTTCCCCCACTATTAACAAAAACTCTTCTAGTTGTCACTGTAGAATGGGGTAATACACTACCATATATTTTAGTGTAAAGAATGTTGCATTCCTTATCCATACCACATTCTAGTAAGAAATTGCCACAATATAAAAAGTTTATTATTACTCAAGAATCTCTCTGAGGACGTGAGCTCAGGTACATGTTGTTGAAACAAAAAAAACAGTAGCTTCTTTCACAACTCAGCTGGGTGAGATCTTTGGATAAATGAGATACAATCAACCAAATTAGTTAAATGGACATTTTTAAAACATGCAGACATTGATCAGGAACCAAACTGTCACTGCTCGGTCTGTTTTTGATAATCTCTTTACTATAGCACCTGGGATAGTATTCTAGTACACCACACATGCTAGGAATCATGTTTTTAATTTAGTTGGCTGCAAAGGTGATTTAACCATTGCAATACATTTCATCCAGATGCTGTATTGCATACAGGAACTAAAGATTCTGATCATGTGCACATGGAAACCCAGCTTCGGGCTATATAGGAAAAAAGGAGGAGAGATTTTGCAAGACAATAACAAAGGTAGATCTGCATTCAATGTGATCACTGCTGTGGAGTATGAAAACACAGCAAGGTTCTTATAACCACATAAGGGAAGAACACTTCCTCAGTAACCACAAACTGCCTACATTTGTACAAGTTTTACCTGGTGGTATAATTTTATTCCCCATGCCCAAAATAATGATATTATGAAACCACTGACAAGGAGTCTCACAGCTTGAAGTACCTGAGGCTACAGTGTCACTATTCTGAAGAGCTGCCACAGAGGAGATCCAATAGGGCTGCTCTAGGGCTTTGTCTCCATGACAACCATGGGCCTGCTTTACTGTGGCTAAAGGCTTCTTCCTGCCAACGCTCCACAAAGCAACAGACCTGTAAACAGACAAAGTTTCAGTGAATTTTCCATTGGATACAAAAGACAAGCATGTCTAACTTATTCCCTTAGAAGATTTAGCAGAACTCAACCTCATCCCTAGGCACCAATTAATAAAAACACATATAGCCTTCCTTATCCTTCCAATACAAGTACTGTGCAGCAATATTTTGGTCAAAACCATTACCAAAACGTCAAGGAAAATGGCACCAGTTCACTTTACTACAGCATTTAGCATGGTAAGCAATATTTATTACATTGTTCTATTATACCCACCCATCATCAGCTCCTGTTATCATATGCTCCTCATTAACCAGTTGAACACAGTCAATAGAACCTCTAAAAAGAAGAGAAAAATATTCAATGCACAGAAAGCACATGCATACCACAGAAAATACAAAACAATTTAACAACTGTAAAGTATGCAAGAAAGCCACTGAGGAGTGACTACATATTACAGCAGTGACACTTAACTGAGGAGAGCAAATATCAACAACTAAGAGAGATCCTTTTGCAACACACAACTGTGAATAATTGTTCATCAGATCTCTCCTTGAAAACTGCAATTATATTGAGAAATAAATATCAAGAAGCAGGGGGCGTTACCAGTATATTTACAAATACTCATATAAATTTCGCAATAAAAATATACAGCATAAAAAAAATCTTACAGGCCCATAATCCTTCTGCTAACTTTGAAAAGACAGATTCTTCTTTGCTGCATTGCAGATTGGTTTTCACAGCATTTGTTTTTCTGAATATAGATGGGAATTAAATCCAAGAAGTGATAAAGCAGTGTACGGGACTCACTCATGCCCATGAAATACAAGCTGTGACTCCTCTGCAATCTTCCAGACCCTGATAGTCCCATCCCGGCCACCTGCAGTCACACAACGCTCTCGACTCAGACTGTCCAGGCCTGTGATAACATCCTGGTGGCCGAAACTACAGAGAGAGATTCTTCAGAACAAGACTCAAAGGCAATGGATAGGTAGTACAGTTAATTAAAAAAAGTACCCAGAAAGCTAATATTTGAAATAAAAAAAAAATGAAACTCCTCTCCCCACCCTCCGCTGTTAAACCCCTAATTACTAGATGGATAAATTGGACCAAAGGTTTTACCACTGCTATGAAAGATTACTAACATTTTCTGAATGTTATGTTCAGTTTTTAAATGTATGCAAACAGATGATACCCCAGTTTTCTGTGATGACACTAAAAGATTGGAGTTCACCACAAAAACTTTACAAAACATATTGTGGTATATGGCTTTACTTGAACGTTCTATTTCAACTTTAGTATTTGAGTATTTTTACCAAATAAGTGTACAAGACTTAATACACTGCATTTCAGAGTCATACCATAAAGGAAACCATGAGGTGATGAAATCCATTCAGGTACTCACAGTGTTTCCACGTAGGCGTTCTCACTGACATTCCACACCTTCACAGAGCGGTCATGAGAGGCACTGTACAGGTCATGCGTACCTTTTCTAAAGGATAAGCCCTTGGGAAAGCAAAAGAAGCTTAGTGAAGCTCCAATATTTATTGTGGTGATATTAAGTGATGAACGGGGGTTAAATAACACGGTCGTTAAAGATCCCAAGCTAGGGACGTTCACCCAAGATTCCAGGCTAAATTTGAATTTTTGCCTGCTCAATATGAGGCAACTACATTTTGCCCTTAAGTCATCTGGTGAACCTATGTCTCACTCCTCCGCCTGATCTGCTGGTGCAGAAGGACTGCTGCACATCACGCATGTGGGCACTGCACTTCAGTCGCAGATGAAGTGGATCCCATCTTTGTGTTAAAAGCTTCGAGTTCCTTTTAGCACTACACATGTACTGTACATTACAGCAATAATTACTATACAGTAAATATGTGTTTTTTCACGATTACTGACATCTGCTCTCACACTGATTTTCTGGCAAAAAGGTCTAGAAAAGCTGAAACAAAGGGAAAAATAAAAAAAGAACAGCCAGACTGCTCCTAAACATTGGATACCATCAGCTGACATTTGTATTGTATATAAATCAGTTACAACATCTGCATATAAAACAAAGTTTTTGAAAGGTTAAAATAGCCGTTTCTAATGAATAAAATTCAAACCTTGCGATATTAAAGTCACACAGCCGGGAAGGAAACGCCCAAAGAGACTCACCGACACAGCGTCTTTATGTCCTGTGAACTTGTAAAGATGTTTACATGTGGCCGCTTCCCAGATCATGATTAACTTATTCCAATCACCAGTGGCCTGCAGAAGCAAAACCAGAAGCAAAAAAAAAATATATTAAGTAATCAAAAAGGTTTTAGCCCAGTTTAGCGTTACAGAAGAACCTATGAATTCATAGCTCTAACACCATCCACAACATTTTCAGTTGAGAAGTTGTAGTACTGCGAGTTTGATTAGAAAAAGCACGTTCCCTCTCCCTCCCTTACCAGGTATTTCCCATCAGATGATATTGCCATGGACAGGATATGCGCAGTATGTCCAACATGTCTGTCTTCTGTTCCTTTCCTCCCTCCTGGAATGGTGTGAAGCTTCTTCCCGCTCTCCACATCCCCTTTGGTACGAAAACAACCTTTAATAAGAAGCTAACGGACAACAGGCCTTTGATCCCCAAAGCACCCGTTTTAACTGCAGCTTGATCAAAATGTATCCTATTTCTATCTCTGTCACTCAGCACACACAGTGTATAGCAGGTTTTTCATATCTCCTGTTAAACAAGCTATACTTTAAAATTGTACTCATCATGATCCTAAATATATTCTTGAATTTGTTTGTCACGGTGAATAATTCATTAAAAAAAGACTCAAAATACATTTAAAAGGGGTAAAATGTTACAAAACAGAATATCAAGATTCTCCACATTTGATAAATTGTTTGTCCACCTTATTTCTTTCTATTACATACCTGATGGAACATAAGTTGTCTGGTTAATCAAATTTTGTCAAAAAGAGTCAAAAGGTCTATTCAAACACCATTTATTTGTAAGATCCAACCCTTCACATAAACAGCTGGGTGGCGCAGTGGTTAGGATTGTGGACTGAAAGGTTGTGGGTTTAATCCCAAGAGTGACTCTGCTGTTGTACCATTATCAAGGGTATATCACCCAAACTGCTCTAGTAAAATAAACAGCTGTATAAACGTGCCCAAACTAAAAAATAATCAAATAAATTAGTAACGTACAGCATCTAAAAAAGCCTACTAACACTTAATAATGGAGCAATCTTTGGCAGCAGAGAAAATGTGCTTGTCGTCAGGGGAAATAACTAGGCAGGTGACTGGAAGCTGGTGCCCTCTCAACAGACGGAGATCGGCAACATCCGGAGCCTGGAGCTGTAACACACACAAAAAAAAAAACACCTAATATGACTGAAGACATATTGAAGCCCTCCTAAAAAAGCAACATGTTATAGCACCACTATACAACTGCATACACTGAATTCCCAAAAAAACACAGTACTTACATCTTTTGCAATAAAACGCTGAAGTTTTCCTCTTTGTTCAAGCTGGAATAACAAGGAAAATATCCTTAATTTAGAAATAAATGTACATGTAATGTCAATGACTGAGATGCCAGATATATAAACATACCCAACAGCTCACTCTCCAAAAATAGCCGCAAAGCACTTACTACTTCCTCCTGAAGTCTTCCCGCAATTAAATCCTTCTCAAATGAATCCTCTTCAGCCTTTTTTTCTTCTGAAAATGAAAAAACAAACTCTTTGTTATGTAGTACTGAACTTTGAGGCACCAAATTTGAAATTGCTGTCCATTGTGTTGAATTCAACAGTGAAAAACTATTTTAATTTGACAAAAATGAAACAATTGTTCAAAGTATTTATTTTTCGCTGCTGTGCAGAATGACACAGGAAACACATTCTGTTTCACATTTTATTATTATTGACTTCACCGACACTCATCCTAAGTAACCTACATTTGTACTCAGTTATACAGATAGGCATTTGACTGGAGCAATGAGTAAAATGGCTTCCTTAAGGGTACAGTGACAGTACCTAACTTAGGATGTGTGTTCACAACCTTCACCAGAGACCTAACTTCTCTACACTGCTGTCTTGTTTCTGCCTGTGGTACGCACTAAAAAATGAAGTCACATTCTATCACAGAAGTTTGACTGCTTTGCACCTGTACACAAGGTGGCCATAATGCAAAGATACATGTGGTACATTCTCAGTCATCTATGTGAATCTATCCGCTTAAATTGACAGTGGCTGAAATTAAAACTAATTTTGGGCTCATGTCAAAATGGCTGGTGTGGTGACGCAGTGTTTAGCACCGCAGCCTTGTAGCGCTGGGGCCCTAAATTAAATCCCTGGGGTGCTATCTGTGTGGAGCATGTATACTTTTCCCATGTTTGTATGGGTTTCCTCCAGGTGCTCCCTTACAGGCCAAAACATACTGGTAGTTTAACTGGCTTCCGGGAACATTAGACCTGGTACGTGTCTGCCCTATGATGGACTGGTGTCCCATCTAAGGTGTACCCTGCCTTGTGCCAGTTGTGTGCTGGGATAGGCCACAGCTCCCCTGCAACCCTGATTTGTAAGAAGCATTTAGAAAATGGATGGATGGACGCCAAAAAGGGATATTCCCATTTCTGTGCACGATGAAGCTTAAAGTGGTGCGTCTCCCTCTCACCTTCCTCCCTCAACTGCTCAAGGTACAGTTTGGCTAATCGAAGCTTCTTCTCTTGTGGAGTTTCTTCAATCTCTTCTTCCTCATTCTCCTTTCTTTTCCTACTGACTGTAGGACTGGGGAGAAGAATAAAAAGAGTCACAAAAATTATTCATTTCTACAGTGAGTTTGAAAAATACTTGTATTATTTCAAAATCTCAGTCTTGGGAACGGCTGCACTGATTGAACTGTGGTAAATTTAATAAACACCCAAATCGGTGACATATTTGAAACTATATTGGTTTAAATTATATTGTGATAATCTGCTTATCACTCACAGTGAGTCACCAAACTCTTGATGAAGTATGTTCCATACTGCAAACCACTCCTCTCTGAAAACTGACCTGATAACCACACTTAATAATTACCAATCAAGCACACCTACAATTAAAATAAATTAAGCAAAATGTTCTCAGAGTAATCCAGGATGGTTGGATGAAGACCTTTTTGTTCTCATATTCAAGACGTAATCTGTTCTACACTGATTTAGCTACTTAATTATACATTTGACAGAAATCATCCCTGACATATTGGGATTTGAGTTTTCAGAAAAACTTGATTTACAAAGCTAGGCCTTGGAGAACACACTGTGTAAATGTCAAACTACTATTGTTCAAAAACTTATTTGGCAGTTAAGACAAAACTTGAGAAGTATAATCCTGGGGACAATAAAATTAAAATGTGGCACAATGGTAACTGACAATTCAATTCTGAATTCAGTAGTCAGGTCTGCTTTCCTTGTGAAAAAATACTAAGGCCAGTGAACTTCAGAATTGTCAGTTACAATCCTAGCCAGTTAATAATTTGGCAATAATAACGCAGGAAAAACAAAAAGGTGGCCTGAGCCTGAGCAGTATTCCATAAGACCCAGTAAATCAACTGATCTGAAACTTAGCCAAAACAAGAAACATCCAAATACACATCATCTTAGATTTGATGCAAAAAACCTGACACAAATTTAGAATTCTGTTTAAAAATCTGTGAACCTAATTAAATCCAAACTTGTGTTAACTGGTCATTCTGTTATCACTTCTGTATTGATCATTTTGTAAAGTTCAGCCTTGGATGGAAATTGGAAACTAACTGCTTTTGTTGAAAAATGGCCAAACTTTTATGCACCATGCGTGCATCATAGGATTCACATTTCCCAAACTTTTGTTTCTACATAACAAAATTGCTGTGCTGATGATAATCAAAATATTACGTAATCTTCACAGTGTGGCAATTTTTTCAGTCAATTATAATTAACCGAGGTGGGTATAACCATGGTGAAAACCTATTTATATAAGGATAAATATTGATATCCCCAATTATAACACTCACGCTGACAATTTATTTTTAATCTTACTTTTGTCTAACAATATTATACCAAGATATTTTCACAAGTCTTTTCTCAGAATGTATATAAAACATGCCTGGAAAAGATGACCCTTCTACCTTAGTCTGTATTTCTGGAGAAGATACTGAAGCCGTTTATTATGGGTGCAGCAACATTTTCATCAGGCTAGTATCAGTGGTGAACATTGTAAATGTTCAAAGTAAATTTGATTCGAGGTACAAAAGATTACAGTGATTGTGTTGAAAGTGACAGAACTTGTTTGGAAGCCAACTCTGCCGCTTATAGTTCTAGGTTTAAATGATCCACCTCACCCTTCTGTCTCTGACTCGCTGGAAATTTCTTCATTAGCTCCAGAATTTACTTTTTTGGCGCGCCCTTTACTCACACCATCACCGTCAGCCTTAAAGGATGAGAAACAAAAAACACTATTTTTTAAGTAACTGAATTAGAAGCATCCATTGTAACGTACTGTATGACATACAGACTACATAAGCGTACTCTGCTGAGCATCCGAAGAAACCACGTATAACAGCAACAAGTTCATAAAGTTATCATCAGGAAAACTGTAATCTGTAGCAGAGTCATTTGAATTTGGTTGAACAGACACATGTAACTTCATTATGCCGATCAACGTTTGTCACCAACAGGAATCCTCAAAATAGGGAGGGCTTCAGCTATCGGAAGGAATACAAGCTGTGCATCTGCGTTTCATGGACACAAGATCGAAGATGCTGCCCCCATTGCTCTCGTACAGTCTGAATATGCAATGTGCCTCTTCACTTGTCTGTGAGCTCTACAGGACACAAATCGTCCGAGCTAATTCCACAGATGTTTAATGACCCATCTCTATCAAGTAATAGAAACCAAGGCATAGCTATTGCATATGTCGCAATATAGATTTTGCCCCTGTGCAATGCAACGACATTCTGAGATCAGCAAACACAGGCGAGGGAATGGGAAGACTCAAGACCTCTGTCCTTGTAGAACCTTTCTATATAAAAACGAAACATTTTTTGTTTCCAGTTGAAATAATGTATAGGCAATGAGCAAAACATGCGTTTCAAGCAGGTCATATATCGCATTGCTGATAACTCTCAGTCGGCATCTGAAACGTCCTGTTTTTATTAAGAATTTGTGTTGGCTTCATTTATACTGGATATTCGCAGTTAACTTCAAGCAATAGCGGTTTCACAGCACAACAGTGATTTGAAATGAGTGAGTGAAGTATACCTAAACTAGAAGATATTAGTGCATTCGCCGCTTAAGAATTCATACATCCATTTTAATGTTTTTCTTTTCGTTTTCCTCCTGTGCACTCCAAACGAAATAACACATAGTTGGAAGGTGCTCATTTGATAGGATTTTAAAAAGCAAATTGTTTATTTTGACTACCCTGTAAAATCTGCAATCTAGGTTAAATAAAAACATAACCGGCATTTTCAAGTAGTAGCAAAAAAAAAAAACTTACCTTCCTTTTAATAACTCTAGTACTGCCCGCTTTTTTAGTAGGCTTCGCGTTAACTTTCTTCTTGATGAAGAAGGAAGACATACTACCAGACAATATGATTCTTTATTTAACGATTTTAAGAAAAAAAAAACAAGTAAAATAGTTGGAATTCAATATTTCAGTCTGTTAATCAACATTAGAACCACATTGGCACCGTCCACGTGCATTCAAACTGGACCTCACTCACCACGCCTTTCCATTAAAGCAGGTAATTGATTGGATATTAAATACTTTAACTCCGTCTTCGTTTTTCTATTGAATCGCAACGTGCCCTTTCCCACCTACCAGATTTCGATTGGTGCATACATTACACCACATTTAAGGGTAGGTTGTGGCGGAAATGCATCCGGTGAAATAATGAAACCGTGAGAAACGAAAACTAAGAAACACAGTTCCGGGAAATACCGAGCAAATTCTTGGACAGTACTTGTTAAACATTATAGATGTTTTTGAATTCTTTGATTGTAAAATGTCCAACAAATAAAAATGTAGTCGAAAGTGATTTCCAGGCTGATTTCGTTCCTTGTGCAATGTTATGAATTATTCATAAAAAAATCTGAAATTTTAGCACTGTCCATAGAAATAGTAACACTACGTGATAGGAGTTCGTCCTAACCTAGTTTGATGTGCATAATGTGTTGGGATTTGCAATGATCTCGGGTTTGAGAATAGGAGAGGGTTGTCAGCTTCGGTCTTGAGTTGGGGCTGTGGGGGCATTTATAATAGTTAAAAAGAATGAAAATGTCCCAATGCTGTTGCAATGAAATAAAAAAAAATCGAAGAGATAACTTTCGTGTTTCAGGCACTGTAAAAAAGACAACAGAAATACGTACAGTAGTTACTACTGCAGTATAACTGCTCAAAATGTAGACTTCGAGGAGCACTAATGTAGAAGTGGTAAAACAATATACACTCGCGAATATTTGTACATGTTAAAATGCTCTTTGTGAAATTCGGACTTTGAAACACATTACATCATTACATCAGTCAATTATATGCAATTATATGCAAATTAATGAAGCTACAAAAACAGGCAGTAAGCCAAAAGCGTAGCCACTCCCGATGCGCTTTCATCATGATTTCCTAATCCTGAGTCGTCCTGCAGCACTTCACATTACACTTCAGGAGCCCAGCAACTGCAGTTCAAAACACACAGCACAACTCAGGTGACAGCCAGGGCGTGTTGTCTCTCTCTAAGAACAGGTGGGTGTTTATTATTCTTTAGAAGTTATATCCAAAAAGGTTAAACTTTTTTTTAAACAGAGTATCGAAACATAAAACGTAACGGGAATGTGTCGTCTTCAACACTGTTGTTTTTAAAGCTGTTTTCCAGAAAACAAGCTGTCAGTGATTGCGATAAGGAAAGGCCACGCAGTATTATTTGAGACTGCAGTGCTGCGTAGGTCATACAGTTCTACTGCAGTACAGTGATGCTATGTCGTCTAAGCAGTGCAGTACAGTTCAATGGCTGAAGTCATACGGCAAAAAAGACTACTACGAAATGAATGCACTCGTGTTAATCCTGTGAGATGTACACTGCGATATTTACAAAATAATTTAGTCGCGAACTGTTTGTAAACGTGAAAGTTAAAACAATGCTTTTTCAATATTAATCAGCGAGCCGTTTATACAGTATAAACTATTTATAAACCAATCCTTTTATCCCAGGCAACCCGACGTTTACAGTTTTATATGTTTGTATGATGACATGAAACGTAAAAGTTTTGACAAAACATGTACTGTATGTACAGTATAAACAGACTGAAGCGGCAGTCTAAGTACTGAGACATTGCTTGTGGCATGTCTGGGCAACATTGAGAGGGGAAGGCGTACACTAAGACATCAGCACAAGATAGCTTAATAACGTTTTAGAATGAGCCCAGTGAAAGACAATAATAATTAAACTGCAAAACGCTCTACTACAAGTAGAAAGATCCCTAGCAAAACTTATTTTTATTTTAAAACACTGTTATTGTAGTACTAAAAATACTGTAAGAATTCAATTGCATATGTTTAATGCACTTTAGATTTTATGTGGCGGACACTCTGATACAAATTGTTTGCTGAAGCACAAAATCGGATATTTGTAAAAAGAAAAATCTGAAAATGCCTTGAAATATAGCTATTGTTAGTCTGCCAGTTTCAGTACTTGTATTGTCTCAGACTGCTGTGCAGTGGGATCTTGTTTCCATACAGTACAGTAAGTACATCTTTTGGCTCTTCTGTTTTTGTTTCGATTATAAGGTCACCAAGCAACGAAAAAAACAATATTGTTTTGGATCTTTTTAATTGCCACAAAGTGTATACTATCATTACAGTTGAAGAACAATCACGAAACCTTTCAGGATCATTGAGGCGTATAGGAAATTGAGTCATGAATATGAGGCTGATGGATAACTAGATTTAACCTCTGTACTAGATTTTTAATTTAATATTTGGAACTTTCCAAAATGTCTATTTCTGAAATGAAAGTTTCAGTAGTGTTTAATTCAACAACTACTGTTTATGCTTAGAAATTGATCTTTTTGCTGATGTACATTAAGCCATTCTGGATAACAGATGTGCAAAAACAAATTTTAACTTTTTAATGTTGAAAGTCAGTGAGAACACTTTATATGACAAGACTATAATTTATTTAATAATAATAATAATTATTATTATTATTATTATTATTATTATTATTATACTTACTTACACTTTTACAGTATAGCGCTTTTCTGGACACTCCACTCAAAGCGCTTTACAGGTAATGGGGTCTCCCCTCCACCGCCACCAATGTGCAGCATCCACCTGGATGATGTGACGGCAGCCATAGTGCGCCAGAACGCTCAACACACATCAGCTATCAGTGGGGAGGAGAGCGGAGTAATGAAGCCAATTTATAGATGTTGAGATATTTGAGCCAATTTAACTATTTTGAGCAGAATCTAATAGCACATTTAATCACACAACATCTGTCAATCAAGAATATAATGAGGTTGGTTTACAGCCTTGCAGATTCAAATCTTACCATCCAGCATGTTTGGAGTTAAAGTGATTTCCGAGAGAGTAACCTTCAAAGAGAGATTAAGATGTGGCAACATACAGTAAGTAGTAAGCCATTTCTAGGAAATATTTATAAAAGGAATTTCAATTGTTTTCACTCAAGTGATTAAAATTGTTTTTCTTCACACTGAAACCTGCTACAGATTTGGAGCTCTCAGTTTTTTTTTTTGCCCAAAAGTTATCCTCTTTGAAAATGCACCTCACTTTGCTTAGTTTGCTTGGAAGAAGTGGTTAGCAAATGAACGGATGGATTTTTACAACCAGAAGCCAACTCTTGATATTATTATTATTTAATTAAAAATTGTAATGCAAATTAAATCCAAATTATTTTTAATAATTGAAGCTTCACAGGTTTCATCAAACTAAAATCAGCTTCAGAATTTCATCACACATTGTAATCGGTAACTGGGGATTACCTCTTTATTTTGTGTGTGTGAGGTAAAGGCAAAACTAAAGCAGTAACTGCATGCCATTTTCTGGATGTTTTCCTAAATGCACCTGCAAAATGGTTGTCGTATAAGACTAGATGAGCATCAAACAAATTTATAGATTTAATTCCATATACTGTATCCTGTGTCCTGCCAGAGATGCCTGTCCAATAATTATTGCTGCAATATTTTGCCAAAACAACCTTGAGCCAATCCAGATTTATTTTGACACTATCAAAACCAGCAGTGGCGCAGTGGTTCGCATTGCTGCCCTACAGCGCTTGGGCCCGAAGTTCGATTCCAGACCTGGGGGTCTATGTGTGGGGTTAAGTTCTCCCTGTGTTCGCTTGGGCTCCATTCTGGGTGCTCCAGTTTCTTCCCTCAGTTCAAAGACACACAGTACTGGTAGTTAAATCAGCTTCTGGGAAAATTGCGTTTGCCCGGCAATGGACTTGCATTGTGTCTAGGATGTACCCTGCCTTGTGCCTGGTGCTTGGTGCGATAGGCTTTGGCTCCCCCTCAGCCCTGAATTGGAAGAAGTGGTTAAGAAATGGATAGATGGATGAATTATTAAAAATCAGAAACCACCTCTTGATATTATTAATTAGCAATATTATTAACCTACACATAGTACAAAATAAATAAAGCCTACCTGTTCTGATGTGATATAAACATGATGAAGTGTTTTTCTTATCTTGGGACTACAAATGCACAGTAACATCAAGAGTGTTAACCCCCGTGTGTATTTGTGTCTTAGGAAATGGCGGGAAGTATCTCCCACTGTGGGCAATCCAGACCTCTGAATAGTAAATCAGTTAGTGGTTTAACACTTCTGAAAACTGGAACTTTGTTTTGTGGTTTTTACGTAAATATTTATTTTGCAGTAACTGAAATTGGACAGGGAGATGCCACCAAAGAGAAAAGCGGCCGCAGCTACCAAAGCTGGGGGTAAGAAAATCAAAGAGGAACCGGATGCCCCCGAAGACGCCTTTAAATCTGCAAGAGAGGCTCTGAAATCTGCCCCAAAGAAGAAGTGCAAGAGTAAAGTGGATGAGAATTGCCATCTAAGCTGGGATTCAACATCAGAGGTGAGGACCGTTCAGCGGAGTGTGAGACAAATTTGTGCCTGTTTTTCTGTTCATATTGATGTGTTGTGTTTTATTTTTCACACGGCCTGCTACACTGGTCTGTCATTGAAGTTGTAGACTCATTGCTTTCATCACACCTCCAGTTTTGGTTTCTAGGGTCCAAAATTAGGCCTACTGTACATTTTCCTTGAACTCGAGTGAGTGTTTAGAATGGTGTTCTTCTAATTATTTGGTTCAGTAAAGCTTATTATTTTGTTGCAAGTAAGTATACCGTGCTCTAACATGGAATGTACAGTACCATGGTACCACTGTTATTTTCTACAAAAAAAGTTCAAATTGAGATATATACAACAGAAAACCCAATTGTTGCTTACGAGTTATACGTTTCTTCTTTGTCGCACAATGGCAGAAGTAAAATGCTATTTACTTATACCTGTACGTGAAATATGTATTTTAAAATTTATACTCAAGGGCAAGACTCTTAATGCATTCGAGTATTGGAAGAGAAGACAAGACAGCAATTTTTTTTTTAGTTTATGGAGATAAAGAAGAATTTCTGCCTTCCCAAAAAACTGTTTTGTTTTTCTTCAGGGGATGTTGCCCTGAGAGAGGGAGATATTTTACCTAAATATTGCTTTTATGTTAATCTTGATTTGAATTCCACGACAATGTGATTTTGTGTGAAAAGCTAACTCGTAATTAGATTAGTTCCCATGTCTGAAGAAGCAGCACTCTTAATACTGTAACTAAATATCCATCATAAGCATCTTTACCTGAAGAAGTGTATTAGCAGACTGAGCATTGTTTGAACTGCAAGTACTATTGCCAAGCTGTGTTTGAAATTCGTTACACCTTTGATTCAGTCAAGGGTTATTTGCTTCATCGTTTACCACAAATGAGAATATTTATATATTCTTGGAACAGATCTTGGAATTTACAAGGGTTGTATTTAAGATATTCCATATCATGAGACTGTGACCTACAAAACAGTTGAGCCCAGCATGCTGAACAAACATATTTAATCACTGTGATTGACATGCGTCAAATGAGAGAAACATGCTGTAATTTTAGTCGTGAGCACATTTCTTAGTCTGAACTCTAAGGTTCCTATTTTGGGGGAAAATTCAATACAAAAAATGACATGTATTGTACCATACAGAAAAACCATTATGAGACACTTTAAATTCCTTATCAGTAACAGACAACATATTACATCCCATTGGTGTTTTGCACTAAAAATTGCATATGTTCCACAAATAATGTATTTCTTGCATTATATTGCCCTAGTTACATTTTTCTGATTCTTACTTTTGGTCCAGATTGACTTTTCCAGTCTGTTTGTTTTAGAATTAATAAATGTCCATTATCAGTTTGTGCTTCACTTGTACACTGATTTTGTGTGAATTTCCCATATCTGCAATGTGGGTGTTATTAATCCATAAGCACAAACTTTTTACATAAGTGGAAGAAAAGAAGAGGCTGATGTTTTGTGATTTTATTCCACTGTCTGATCCTGGAAGAGAAGGAATACAATATCCCTGAAGTTTAAATACACTTCCTTTATACTGTAAGTATTCCAACATATATTGTTTTTAAATGTGTTTAGTTGTTTTGAAGTATGCAAAAAGTTAAACTGCTTTAGCATACGGTGTACTGAAACCTGCAGGTTTACTGAAAAGTAATGAGCTTCATTTGTTTATTTCAGGGAGTATGTTATATACTGAGCTTAATAAGCTATAATAAGTTTCAGTAGCATCAGGCCACCCCTTCTGATCAGTTTGAAAGCAAAGTTATTTTTAAATATTAGCGTCTCTTTGTTCAAAAGAACATTTACCTCCCCGTAAGGCTTACGTTCTTGAGAAGATTTACAATGCGGAAACATTGTCGTGCGAAACAGACTTCCTTGGTAGAATTAATGTTGAAGCCTCTCATAGAGAGATGATATCACTGTGCCTTTTAGGTTTCATGGGATTTTCTTAGCCAGTGCTCATGCACAAGAGAGCTCTCTGTCCAATTAGAGCTGTTCATAGCTCCAAATCTTTGAATCAAACTGTAGGCTTAATCTCCTCAAATATCCGATTAAGCTTAATATTCATGCCTACTTTAGTCAGTAGATTTTTTGCAACCAGTATAAAGGCTTGAGAGGAAAACTTAATGAAACTCAAGAGATGCTTCTCAAGACTGGGGACCGAATGAAGTGGGTCGATGTTTTAGTATTTAGGATTTATGTTGCAAACAGTACACTTAGTACAGGCTTACAAAAGCCAGATTTGTGCTCTGCCTCTCTCTCATTGTAGAGCATTATAAAATATTTTTTACTGTCTAATGCAATGTTTAACAGTAGTCTTTACATTATATGCATACATGTATTATAACCAAATTAAATCATCCATAAACTAGGAAATTCCTGCCACAAGATTTTGATTATGCCTATAATTGAGCTGATTTATACCCTACAATTATAACCTACCTGTATCATATCATAAAGCAAAGTTAATTTTGGTTTACTTCTTAAAATGTAAGATATTACCAGCTGAATTATTTTTCCACAACAAATTCTCTCTCTCTCTCTCTCTCTCAACCCACCAACGTTCAGATTATTTATTTGTCACAAGACCTAACAGTCCTTCATAGGTGGTGCCAATTTTGATACTTTGATACTTTAGATTTGTGATCTTTAAATCACACAGTAAAGTAGATATGGAACAGTAGAGCTAAAACAGAAGTTGTCCTTCTTTTCAAGAAACAAACACTTAAAAATCATTGTAGATTTAACACAGTGGAGGGATTTTCAATCTTAAGGCCCCACCATGGTACACAGGAGTACTAAAGCAGACATGTTTAAAGTCCACTGCACAGTGCACAAAGACACTAAAAGGGTGCTGTTTTCCAGCAGCAATAATTGAACATATTGTAAATATTTACCAGTGTATACTTCACAAAGTATTAGAAAAATCTAAATCTTGAGTATAACATTCTGGTTTATTTGACACAGAATATGGTCATGTCATTGTTCATTATGTATTGCATGGCTATATGTTTGCATGGAAGGCTGCAGTTCTGCATGTTGTGAATCTTGAAATCAACGTGATTTGCGTATGTTGGGGATGCCCAAAATCTAGTCCTGAAGGGCCTGAGAGCTTAAGTTCAAAACAAAATATTAGAACTATCTTATTAATTGGCTGTAGTTGCCAAGTTTCCCAGGCAGGAGCAGGAGACTGAAAAAACAAGGAGTTTTGCAGAACTGAATTTTGAGATCCCTTGGTATTTGCAATTCACTATGATATGGTGAATTAATGAATTAATTGTTAAGGAGGTCTGAAGTTGTGTTCAGCAAGATGATTTATTGCAACATTTAAAAAGCAGGAAAATACTGTTTAGTATTATTTTTTAAAAACGTTTACAGAAATTTGATCTATCATTTATATGGAATTGCAAATAATTACCATCAATTTAGTGCTCCTTTTTATTTTGTAGCAGAAGTAGAAACAATGGAATGGCCTCATAATCTTCTACTTTTGACTTTTCAGAATGAATTGAATGACTCTGAGGATGAAGACGGGCTTATTAGTTGCCCCCAGATTAAAACGGCCACCTTAAGCCTTTTAATGAAAATTCAAAAGCTGGAAGCAGAACTTAAATATGAGAGGAGATGTAGGATCATTGCAGAAAAGGAGCTGAGACAGTGCAAAGGTATTAACCTTTACATTTACATTTTTAGAATTTCAGAACATTAGGGGTTTTTGATTCATTTTCTCACTTCTTAACAGAAATGAACAACCTCATGGCACAAATGAGAGGAACAGCTAACGAGCTGAGGTCAATTCTGAACTATGCCAAGATGGGCATTGAAGATGCACAGAACAGAAATGGGAGCTCTGCTGTTGGAATAAATCAGGTTTCCGTGGCTTCACCTGAAAATGATTCACAGGTGGGCAGCTAACCAAACTATGACTTATTTTAATGTTGAACTATCGTAATATTTGTAGATTGGTGGTCACGCAGTTTCCTTAAATATATTTTGACATTCCTCAAAATTATATTGTCAAACTTGTTATGAATCAGAAATCTCTAAGACTTGCAGAGAACATCAATTTTTAAAGAGACATTTGACATACTACGACCTCCACCATCTCACAGTCAGTTGGAGGAATAGCACATCTCTCATTAACCTTACTGCAAGCCCATAGGCGCCCTGCAGGTCACAGAAGTTACAGTACAGTTGTGCCAGGAGTGACCTGGCAGATTATTCCCAAACCTACTCGCCAATCGATACTGCCATTTGGGAAATTCCAGTCCTAGTTGGCTAATTGCTTGCAGAATCCAATCTTAAACTAGAGTTTTGATAATATACTGGCCTAAATGTTTTTGAATATTTTGGAATCAGTGTATCATCATATTGTGCAGAGTTAAGTGTTTTGAAATAATTTTTCCCCTTCTACTTTTTTTTATAGGATGATAAGTTTATTGAGCTGCCTGGAGGTCTAAAGGTGCAGAAGAATTTGTACAACAGAATTTCAACCACAGATTTCAAAAAGTACACCTCTGAACTGTTAATGCTGGTCTTCAATAGAGAAACTCTCGCTACTCATTCCCTCCAAGGCAGAAAATCCTACAATTCCAAAGAGGATTTCCAAAAGCCACCACTTCCCTCTGAAGAACTAGCAAATATAATAGGTATCCTAATTTTATTTTCCATGTCATTTTTTGTTCCTGTTAGTGCTGCCTACTGGCCAGAAAAAAACACAATAACTTAAAATGGTTCTGTCTTTGGAAACTGGAAAACATGTAAAATAGAGGAATCTGCCTTTATCACAGTGTGGATCATTTCAAAATGTATTTTAAAATGATTTTTTAAAACAATGTAGTTCCTCTTTTAGTCCATTTAATATTCTGCACATTGAACTTTTTATTGTCACTTAAATCAGAAAGGGTTATTTTATCTTTCCCTTGAAACAAAGAATATGAAATGACTCCCAGTTTTGCAATGTGTTGCAAATTAGTAATTACTGTTTGTTTATTCTTAAATCACAAAAATATGTAACTAATTAAAGCTTATATTTTTGTTCTAGAGCACGTCAAAATAAAATTTGGAGTTGATTCAAGCCTTATAAGAGCTGCTATTAGGACAAAATTAAATAATGAGGATAAAATGTTGAAGAAGAGACTGAACAACCTGATAAGTACATAAGTTGGTGGTTAGTAGTGTTGCGTTTGTTTCCTAGCTGTAATTCTAACAATTTTCCAAAGTTTCATAAATGTACACAGAAGTAGGGAATAGTCTTTAAATATTTGCTGCACCAGTAGGTCTTCTCAATTTTATTTTTTAACATTGTAGTTATTGACATAATTTTAGAGTTACTAAAAAATAGATTTTTGCTATTTGTTCTGTACCTTTTGATGTTAAGACTATAGTGTGTATAATTACTGTACATGTGAAATCGAACTATAGCTTTTTTCTCAGTAAAGCTTTTTAAAACGATGTGTTCTGAATTATGAGGCATTTAAGCCTTCTCTGAATAAGTACTGGAAATAGGTAATTATTAGATTTTCAGTGTTTTAATACAATATAAACTTAGAGCCATTATCATTTCTGCTTAAATGTAAATTAATTTATAAATAGAAAAAAGGTTAATAAGCATGTGTAGATACATTGTATGTGTGAATATGACTCCTCTTTCCTTACTTTTTTAGATCGAGGAAACGAGGCCACTTTTTCTTTCTGTAGATCCCTGCCTTGTGGCCTAGTAGTGGCACACAAGGGCAAGGTTGTACAGGAAACAATTTACTGTGCACAGTACACACTGTTGGATACCTTGTGTGCCAAATTAAAGTGCAGATGTCTATTCACAGAAAAAAAAGAGGACGTTTTTCATTTTCTGTGTTTTGAATTATTGATTCCTTTGATATTTAACAGGATGTGTTCTTCTGCTGTTTTAGACATTTTTCAACAAAGGTCCATCCATTATCAGAAAGCTGCTTGGGTTGCAGCACCCCAGAGCTTAAAGAAAGGTTTTTGTTTTCTGATTGTATGAGATTGCTTGTTTGTACATGACTGTATTGTAGGTTGCTGCCAGAAATAAAGTGGAATATGAATTACTTTGACTCTATGTGCCTTTTTTAATATGAGCATTGGTGGACACTGTTTAAGGGTGACTTCTGCAAACCCTTTGGTACTTTGTTTTGTAAATGACTATCAGGGTGAATTTGTTTTAACACGTTACTACTCTGTGCATTTCTTTGTTTCATTTGTTGAATTATGTATTGTTAAACAATTATGGAATATGATTCAAAGGGTTTAAACTTCAAGGACTGGTTTTCTGGGCAAAACGTTTAGCCAAATGTACATAGTTGGCCAAAAAAAGTATTGCTAAATGTACTTATTCTTCTTCATAGCTTGTGATCCCTTTATGTGGCATTTTAAGAACACTGGTTATTGCATTATTGCTTTGATAAGTTTTTGTAAATATTTACTTTTTTTTCTTTTTTTTTCCCCAGATATATAATGACTGTGACTGCATGCTAAACCAGACGAACATTGGGCCTAACAACAACAAGTTTTATGTTATTCAAGTCATAAAGAAAGGAAATCAGTACTATTGTTGGAACAGGTGGGGTCGAGTGGTGAGTCAAAATAGCATTGGTTCTTTTGCGTTTAAAAATGATTAAATCATAAAATAGAAATATATGCCACACAAATTCAGCAATTATAAGGTTGTTGATTATAATAGGGATAACTACTAATATACTGTAATGTGTGATTAAAATGTATATTTTCCTCAATTAAATCAGTAATTAAATTGCATTGCTGTACTTCAGAAATATTTGATATTCACACACAGCATCTACCCTTAGTCTGGAAAGGACTAGTTTGATTATCCTTCTAGCCAGCTGTGAAGATTGACATACTGCTTTTGTTTTCAGGGGGAGGTTGGGCAGTCAAAGCTGTCTTGTGCTTACAGCAGCCCTGATAAAGCACTGAGTGAATTTGAGAAAAAATTCAAAGACAAGACAAAGAATGATTGGAAGAAAAAGGACAATTTTGTCTGCCACCCTGGAAAATACACCCTGATCGAAGTGGATGGTGAATCAGAAGCTGAGGTCAAGGTGAGAGAAATGAGTGGATAAAAATATCTTCAGAACAGATGGAGCTTGTCTTTTTGTTCCCTGGATTGAAACTGACAATACAAAAGCATGTATATTTTCAGATAAGGAGTTCATTGAGGCTGATCTTGTTGTTTTTAGTTTATAGGGAGAACAATGGCAATGATTAATGTAGGCAATTACATAAACTGTACTTGTTTGCAAATAAGGTTTGTAAGTGGTGTTGACTATAGGAGGCAATGTATATAAAATGCAATTAATACTTGTGGAGCTGATATCAATGGTGTCAATTGCATCCAATTTCAGGTGGATACAGTTGATGGACTGAAGAAAGTTCTGCCCAGCAAACTTGACACGCCCACTAAGGAGCTCATTGAGCTCATCTTCAGCACCGATATGTTTAAAGAGGCCATGGAAGTCATGAACCTAGGTAAGGTAAAGCACATTAATGGTAGTATTCCTTTGGGAAATTCACCTGTCCATCTTTCTGTCTGTTTTTATTTGTAGGTGTGATTTTTTTAATGACACTGGAAGGTCTTGAGTATTCAAGTATTCCTTGATCCTTTTTTCAGAATAGGTTAAATAAAGGTATATAACGTGAGGTGATATTGCATAAGCTTTCCTAAAGTCTTTCTAAACTTCTGAAGTGTACAGCACTTGTGGTATTCATTGGTATTTTTTGAAAGTGTAATGGTCTATTTTAGTTCAAGTAGGTAGCTGCATCAGCATGCGTAGGCTGCAAAGGAACAAGTTAAAGACTTATTCCATGCTGAAAAGAGAAGAAAGGAAACGCAAGGTTGTGCTCACACCCGAAGAAGGCTCCACAGCTGAAACATTGTGTTTCCTTTCCTCTCTTTTCAGCATGGAATAAACCTTCAACTTGTTCCTTTATGGTCTATTTTATACAATAATATAAATGCCTGGAGAGGATGGGCAGACCAACTCTCTGCAACTTTTGCAGTGGGGGGGCAGTATGTTTGTCCAGTATGTACAGTATAATCAGTTTTCTGTGTTTTTGTGCAATGTGAGCATGTCATGTTTTAGGGGTATCCAAGGTGTTAAACATTTACTGTGCTCAGCTACAAATTCCATTCGATTCTGGATAATCATTAAACTAGTCAAACCTACCCTTGCCCCAGAATAGTCTTTTGTCTTTCTGAATCTGGAACCAGTGAGAACCATGTATGCAGATGTCATGCCATTCTAAAGAGGTGCTTGTGGCCTGTTGTGTTTGAAATACTCAAATTTATTTGATGGATGCATTTGTTTTCAGAAACCACCAGAATAGAGAAAAAAACAACAAATCCATGCATTGTGTTGAAAAAGTACAAATCTGACTGAGAACTAAAGATTAGACCAGTGGTCCCCAACTTTGCGCCTCAGGAATCCTACAAGTTTTGTGTCTCTTTAAAACCTCAATGGCTGTAGGTTGTGGAGAATGGATAGATATCTCCAGTTGAACTTAATTCTTGTATCCTTAATTTGATCAATTTATTATTTCTCTTGGGTGATGAGCTATTTGTAACCCCAGGAAATAATGAAAACCTGGTGGATTCTGGACCCTGAGGGTCAGAGGTGGAACCCCCGGTTTAGACTGACAATCCCAAGACCATAAAACCACCTACAAAATCCGGAGGAGTTGTGTGAACTGGAACACGTCTGCAAATACTGAAAAATCCAAATTGTCAAAACTGTTTCATAAGCAAGCCCTGAAGTGTGGCCAAGCCTTCATAACGTAGAAGGCACTGACATCAGGAGTGAAATATTTGAGCTCAATCAAATGCTGCTGATTCAACTATGAATGTTTAAAGTCCAGATTCAGGATAGCTCTGTTATAGAAGCTGCAAAACAAATGCAAGAGGTTACCACTAATGTGCAGAAATGGTTTGATCACCTTTACATATGGGTCTTGGGTCATAGCAGAAAGCTTTTTCAAATGCTTGCAATAGTTTAAACCATGGCGACATACTGTAACACTATGACACAAAGCAGATGGAACCCTGTAGCAGTATGTCACACACAAAGCTATTTTGTTAATGTCGCCTTACTGGAAAAATAATTCTGTTACAGATACTTTGGCTTCATTCAAAAACTAGCTGGATGAGAGCCTTGGATCATTTAACTGCTACCTACCAAACAGGCTAGATGGGCTGAATGGCCTCTTCTCATTAATAAGCTTTCTTATGTTCAGAGGAGAACCACGTTCGGAAACTATTAAATTGAATAGCCCTATTTCTTTTTAATTTTCATGTTGAAACACCATTGTAATTATTTAAACAAATAATTTCTGCTATAAATTAAGATACATCAAAGTATCAAGATCAAACATTGTCCTGGACACTGTAAACATTTTTAATAACGTATGGTGTCATACACCTTTTTTCTTACATGGTTACTAGATTGACATCCGTGCTATACTGTGACATAATGCTTGGCAGGAATTCAATAACTCTTGTTTGTTTGTATGCACAGACATAAAGAAAATGCCTTTAGGGAAGCTGAGCAAGGTACAGATTGCTAAAGGGTTTGAAGTTCTGGAGGAAATGGAAGAAGCACTGAAGAAGAAGAACAAAAAGGCCTTATTGGAGCAACTGTCCTCAAAGTTCTACACCACCATTCCTCACAATTTTGGACGCAACAGGCCTCCAGTTATTGCTGATATGAGTACAATAGAGAAGAAAAAAGAGATGCTTCTGGTAAGGTAGACAATAAAGTGGCTTAACCTTGTATCTGTCTGTACGTATGACCTGTGACTTCTTTATATTAATCCATTGGAGATTTATAACTAATAGGTATATTTCATTGATGCAACATGTCTATTTTTCTCTTTGCTTTATTAATTTAATTAGCAACATCACTATTTTTCATTTTTCCATAGTTATCTAATATAAGTATGACAGAAACTAGTTTCCTACAGTAAGTCACAAGGCATGAGTGGTTTGAAATTCAACTATGATTTTTTGAATATTGTTATGCTCATTTTGATTAAGTATATAAAGTTCAGTTGGTGTTGTTTGCTATTGTTTTATCCCATTAACTGAAAATATAAGATATATTTCCAATATAATTACTTAACATCATAATGACTTTTTTTTTTATTTTACTTCATGTTGCATATCTTTATTATAAAATCACATTACAACTTTTCATCAGTTGTAACATGTTCTTACACGGCTTAGTTTTATCACAACAATATTGTCTGCTAGAAATATATTTTACTAAAGCTAGTGACACAGATCAATGTCCAATTTGTTCAGATGCTTATAAGGGCTGGTATCAAAACTGTTGAATATTGTCTTCTTGCAGGTCTTGGCTGATATCGAGCTTGCTCAGAGTCTCAAGGCTGAAACTGAAAAGACAAAGGAGGAGATGATTGAAGAGATACCTCATCCAACTGACCAGGATTATCTGTCACTGAAGTGTGAGCTAACATTAATGGATAAATCTTCCAAAGAGTACGAGGTACAGTAATACCGTTTTTAATACTGAGGGATATTGCAAAGAAATATTAGAAAGAGTATCAATCAAGCCACAGAAAAAAATGTTTACGCCCCAAAACAATTTAAAATACTGCAAAAATTACTTAAATTTTGATCCAAGTGAAGACAAAGCCAAAAGTTCAGGGGACTTAAAGTTCTATTCAAGGAAAGTAAAATGATGCACTTACAGTAATGTCCCATGTTTGCTTACGTCTATGATACTGTCAGTTTAAATGTGCTTAGTATTCATCATTATTAATATTACTAATATTAATCAGTTTCTTATTCTTCTAGATAATAGAAAACTACCTTAATGCAACAGCAGGAAATTGGAGAAGGCCCACTATTCTTAATGTATGGGTGGTAAACAGAGACAAAGAGGTGAGATTATTTCACACACAGTTTGTTATACAGTCTATTTGGGATCATTCTTATTGGTGATGTATGAATGACAAACTCAGACAGGTTAAAGGAACTGAATCTTTCTTACCTGGAACAGAGAAGATTATGTGAGGACTTGATCCAGGTATTCAGATTCAGGCAAGGCATCATTGGCTAGGTCATTCTTCTAGTGGACTAGTAATGCAAAGACCTGGGAATAGGATCCAGGAGACATTTCCTTACTGTAGTAAAGGGCTGTAGTGCTCTGTAGCCAGATCCCTATCTATATTGTTGAATCCAACTTAATACTGTAGGATTCTTTAAGAGACAGGTTGATGGAGTTCTTATATCATTAAGCTACTTCTTAGATGAGCAAGAGGAGCTGAAAGGCTACAAATGAGACATGATAGACTAATGCAGTAATACTAGAAACCAGTGTTAATGGTGCATGGTCTGTTTCTAGGCAGAGCGCTATGAAGAGCATGATGCGCTGGAGAACCGCCGCCTGCTGTGGCACGGCACAAACATTGCAGTCGTGGCAGCAATTCTGAAGAGTGGTCTTAGGATCATGCCACACTCCGGTGGGCGTGTCGGGAAAGGGATTTACTTTGCTTCAGAGAACGGGAAATCTGCAGGTTACGGTAAGGCTGACTTTCATGTACTCTACCAGACCTCTTGGAACTGTAAAGAAATGGACATGATTTTTAAATCTTAAAAAAATGCATTCTTTGCAGTTGGCACTACTTCCAAATCAGTTGGCATCATGTTACTCAATGAGGTGTCACTCGGGAAGGAGTACACCATTACTAAGGATGACTGCTCTCTGAAGAAACCTCCAGAGGGTTATGACAGTGTGGTGGCACGAGGGAATACAGAGCCAGGTAAGACACTTAAGATGTGACCATCATTATCCTTGAAGCACAAGACGAATGATTGAGATGGTGTGACTCTGAATTTGTACATTGTAAAACAGCACCCATTCACCCGTGTGTTTCCAAATATTGCATAGGTATTACTGGGACAAAGTTTATTTTGCATTCACATATTTGACAGTGACGGCTGGTTCAGAAATCTGTTAACACAGAAAACCTTTGAAAAATGATCTACAAAGCTTAGTCATGGCTGTATAAATTAGGTGAAAATGCCAGTGGTGACAGTTCAAATAAAATCAGTAAGGTGCTGACTCTTCCTGACACTGTTTTTAATAGACAAAACGTTTGGAAAATGTTTAATTTTAAATCCTGCTATTGTGGATGCTATTTTTCTAGAGATCATTTACAGTGGTCACTCTTAGATTGAATTCCTCCTGAAGTTACACTTTTTAGGGCAGTTTTAAACTAGTGCTAAATGACTGCTCTAATTCTGATTTTTAAAATAAAAACTAAGTATAAGAAGTCATTAGATAAAATGCTTCTAGTGAATCTTTTAAAATATAGAATTGCCAGTTAACTGTTTTGTCATTTGGAGCAGTTGTTAATTTTTTCCTTTTGGCTTATGGCTACAAACACTGTACCGCACACAGGGAAAATGAGGAAGCTTAGGTAGACTCCTCTGACTCCGCCCACCTCACCTTCAAGCCACTCCCCTTGTGTGTCACCTTCAGGTGAATCCCAATTCCAGGGGGGTTGATGATGTGACCTAGGATCAAAACTGTGATCTCTAGATGACAGAGTTTAAGCAGAGCTCCTGTTAGGTTGATCTACTGTACTGTACTAATTCTGAAGTAGATGCTTTCTCACCTTTTAACAAATATTTTACAGTGCTAAGGACAACCCCTCTTTGAAGAAGCCATTCTAAGGGTCCATATATTTCTATAGAGAATGCTTTTCTAAACTGATTTTAAGACATTTTACAAGAAATATCTGTTTTTATTTGTTCAACATGAACCCTGTAGTGTGAGCTGTCTTTTATATATTTTCACCTTTTAGATCCCTCTATGGACACCTTCATCACATTGGATGGGAAGAAAGTAACTGTGCCACAAGGGAAGCCCATTTCCCAGTCTCTCTATAGTGACAGTTATTTCTCTCAGAGTGAGTACCTCATTTACAAGGAGAGCCAGTGCCGCATTCGATACCTCTTGGAGATGCAATTTTAGGCATGGCAGTTTGAAGGGAATGAATGTGTTCTGAAAAATTAGCTGTCTAGGAGTTCCAAAAACCTTTCTTTCCAAAGAACACTATTGTGCCTCCTTTTAAAGAAGGATGTTTGAAAAAAAAGCTGAAGTTGAATGTTTTTGTCTTTTATTGATTTGTGTGTTTAATATAATTTAGTAATAATTTGACATTCTGGGAACTTGTAAAACAGGTTAGTGTATATTACTGGTGATTTAGTAATGAATAATTCATATTTGCACTGTAGGTTGAATGTAAAAGGTGTAATTGATTTGCCTTTTCTACTCTCAATTGCCTTTTCTCGTATGAAGCAAGATGCTATCATCTTTTGCACTTAATGTATACTTTTTATTGATGTGCTGTTCTAGCAGGGTTCCTGTTGACCTTTGCTTTGGTTAACATTTTGTGCCTTATATTCCTAGTGTCTCTACCCTTGGCAATAAAGTCAGCATGTTTGAGAGAGAACTCCTTGAGTATATTTCACTCCTGTTCTTCTGTTTCCCTTCAAGAAAATGTCCTTCAAATTTTGAAAGTCTTTAAGAATACTCCAGCTGATCCAGCTTCTCATTAAGTGCAAGAACAGACTTGCCCTGTCCAAGTGATATGATAGTCCTTTCATCTTGCAGTTCTGTTTAGCAGCAGAGACTACAGTAAAATAATTTGTTTAATTTGGCCGGATTGTGATTTAGTTGTAGAACCTGCTAAGTAAAATATCAAAAGTAAGAATTTACTGTAAACTGAACATACTGTATACTGTAAGGATATACTGTAAGAAATATGAAGTATATAAATATACTTTCTACATTGGAATGGACTATCACAGAGAAAGCACTTTTGCCTTTAATCACGTGAGAAAAAAAGATTGTGTTAAGTTGTACTTACAATAGTAATCTATACAAAGAGAAATAAATAGTTTGCTGTCATACTCTTTTATTTGTTCAGGAATGTACAAGAATGTACAGTGTCAGTACAAGACAATGTACAAATATACTTTTGCTTCGTACTTCTTGTACAAATATTGGACAAGACATTACATCTTAGCAGGTTCTAGCCATCTACACAAAGACACGTACACATTACACACAATTGGACTCCATTATTAAAAATTATATCAGCCCATAAAGCTTGCTTGGCTTTTAGTACATACACTTAATACAGTAAAAAACATCACAACATTAACTTTAATGCATTTGTTTTTTAGGTCATTCTTATTTTTATTATAGTTTATAGTTTGTGAATAGTTTGTGACTTTTTAGATAAGTAACATAAGACGTACTAAATAGTATGTTCTAAAACAACATTTTTAAGTCCTGGAATACATTGCATTGTTCCTGTTAAGCAAGTAATTGTTATATTATAACAACTGACGTAAGGGGAAGATAAAGTCCTTTCATACTATAGTAAATAAAGGCATGTTTTGTGGTTTTATTCTTGCTATAATTTGCAGCTCATACGTAATATTGTTATATATATATATTGTTGCTTTCTTGAATCTAATAATGTCAGACCTGCTCACAGCTTTGTAGTGCTTCCAGAAGCAGTTGCATCATATCAATTTTAGCAGCAACAGAAAAGCTTCATCAATTTCAATGTAGAGGACCTTTAAGATGTTTTTTCACACTTCAGTTTATATTAATACTGATATAATATAGCTGATGCTGCTTATTGTTCATGGTCTTATTTTCAGCCCAGCCTGTGTTACAGTTTCTTTCACCTTTCTTTCACTAATAAACTGGACAGATCAGAGCTGCTGCAGTCCATGCAAGAGTTATTGAGGCCTCATTAGTGAAGCTGCTAAAATGCTTCCTGATAGAATGTTTTTAATGTTAAATTATTGATACAGATTGTATAAATGTACTGTACCTTGATGTAAACTGGAAGGCAACAGTGAGGGCAGCATTGTTCTGAAAATGTGACTGGGTGGACCAGTCTTTTGCTTGATTAACAGTTGAATAACTAGAAGATTTTTTAAAAAATGTGTTGTTTTCCTGTTTTCAAATAAAAATAAACAAAAATTAAATATTTTGAGATCTTTATTTGTAAAAGTAAGAAATTTGTAAAAATATTTAAACTTCAGTTGCAAGTCCCTGACTTAAATATGGGATTTTTCATATTTTAATGTTTTATTGCCAGTAGATGGTACTATAGAGCATTATCTGAACAACACACAGTTATTACTAGAGGTTACTTCTGAATATGAGAATAAAAACATGAGTTTACAGTTACAGAAAAAAAACTTTTTTAACTTCAAATAATGCACCATACTGTATAAACAACACACTAAATGCTTCACCCTACAGTCATAAAAATAAATAACATGTCAGGATGTCATTCAGATCTCTTGTGTATACTCAAATAATTTTTAATGGTTTTACGTCTACTTACACCTTTTCATAAGATCTATTAACAATATCAGATCTCTAGTATAGTCAGACTTATTATACTGTATATTGTTGTGTAACATAATATTTTACATCATCCAAGAGATTCTGTGCTCAGACAAGCCAATATTCAGCCCCCTTTAGTTCAACAAAGTTATTGAACATCAATACATTAAAAGAAGACAAAGAGCAATTTTACACTTTTAGTGTCTAGTGTACAGTACTTTCTCTCATTGGAAAGTTTCACCTGGAAGCCTTAGGTTAATCTTCCACCAGCACTTTACAGCAAAACGTTACAAAGATGTACAATACTTAAAGTGCATCTGGTATTTAGAACTGCATGATTTTTCCATTGCTGTCTTTTGATAAAATAAGAACAAAATCATTATAGGTGTGATCAATTAATATTAAAATATTGTTTTTTACAGGACCAGTCCATCCACCCCACCCTCTATCCATTTTCTAACTGCTCTATCCAATAGAGAGTCACAGAGGAGCCAAAGCCTCTCTTTTTTGTATAAAACTAAACTGAAACTAAAAGGTAAAATAAAATCAATCTAAATGACTTGTGTTATTTCTTTCAAGTCATTTATAGTATTTTTCAAATGGCATTTGGCAGAGGTTTCCAGCCCTTGTCCTGGAAAGCTACAACCCTGTACATTTTAAAATTGTAAATTGAAAATTGAAAATTGTTGGTTTCTAAATGCTTAGGAGCACTTGTGAGTTAATTGGGTCAGTTACCTATGTATCAGGTATGGGTCCCTGTAGTCCTTGAGAGCTACTGGATTTAGGTATTTGCATTTAAAATGGTCTCTAAAAGACTTAATTGAACAGCTCATCACAAAAATGTCCTCCATACTTAAGGGTGACTGTTACAATGTGCTGGGTTATATCTCTGCAGGACTAGTTTTGGTCACCCCTAATTTACGGCATTATTTTTGGTGATTAGAACGTTTTAGTACATAGGACTACTGCTCTACACCTATACTCTCAAATAAATGTAATTGTGTTACATTTGTAAATAAGCTAAAACTAGAATGGTTCTGAAATACTCAGGCAGTGATGAAGGGAACTTAAAAGGTCCTAATCTTTTCCTGGCAGATGTTTTGGAAATGAAGTTCAATGTAAACAAGTGTGATGGATTGCACTCAAGCCAAAGGAAAGTGCATGATAAAAATCGGAAGAGAGGCATTGAAATTGAAGGGGATAATCTACGAGAACGACTTAGGTATTTTCGTTGACACATAACTGTCCTCTGTCTTACAAAAATACACTGATTTTCCGGAAAGCATTCAAAACACATTAGCCAGAAACAAATTCTGGAAGGAAAGGTCAGTCAAATACAGTATAGACTACAATAACTCAATCTCTTTAGCCTCTCTAATATAACTTGGAATTCCTTCATCTTTACAACAAAATGAGGTAGAACAACAGCTTTCAGCTCAAAAAAGACAGGTGCACCTGAAGAGCACAATTGTAAGACGAGTGGGCATTTGATTACAAAAAGAAAAAAGGCAGAATATCTTTACACCTGAGACTCATTTGGGTACTTGGTCAAGAACCATAGGTCCTGAAATCAATAGGCTACCAACAACCGAACAAGAATAATGCCTTCTCTTGTTTGTTTAACAGTATTGCGTTGGACAATTTAAGGGACCCAAATTGTGCAAGTAGTCCCTTGACAGCATTTCTTGTAAATTGTTTACTCCACTGTCAGTTATGCTTGGAAATTGTAGTTCATTATTTGCTGACCTTAAGTTACCAATTATTTGGCTAGGATTCTGAAATCTACTGTTACTTATTCTGAACAAGATTAATGTGTATTGGTTTAATCAAAATAAGAAAAAAGAAAACTGTTTTGTTTATGATTTCATTCTTAATATATGTATGGCATTTTTTTACTTTAAAGCCTTTGCAATTTCAGAAACTATACAGCAAAATCTTTATGTATTATGTTTGCCAAACCATTCAGAAACATAAAAAAATATGTTTATGGTCTTATTGGAAATGTGTAAGCAGACCATAAAATGTTATGTCTGCACACAATTTATACTGTATATTGTATGTGCAACATTTCCTTTTGCCATCAACTTTTTCATGTTGCCTACTTATGTATTACTGTGGTGATAATTAACAAGAGTTTCTAATAATGGCTTCTATTTTTGTTTTAACTCCATCAGATGCAATCCCATTTTAGGAGTAACTCAAAAAATCACTGAATCACCCTAGTTTTTAAAATATACAGTAAATACCCACTGCCATTTTACTATGCTAAAACTGGGGGGAAGTGTTAAATAGTTGCTATGACTATGAACGCATATCTGGAAGGTTATAGATGAAAGGTTTCACTGCAGACACTGCTGTTGTACTGTTCAGCAAAAGCACTTTAGCTCTAGTACTCCAGTCTTCTCAGCTGTATAAATGGATACCAGAATCTCTGGATTAACACTGTTCGATTAGAAAGACACCCATAGAGTTAAATTCCACAAAAACTGGGATAGTCTTCAGCTCTGATGAGCAGCTAGACTGGAGTAGACTGCTGCTAAACAAGAAAGACAAAATACTGTATATTAAAAATCTTAAATGATTTTAAACAACAGAAAAAAAGTTATCAATTGCAAATCTCAATGATTAATGACACATGAAAAAAATAAGGATATTTAAATCATTCAATTTTGGTGCTTCTAATGACATTGCAATGTAATTCTTCCTGAGTATGCATTGGCTGTTTTCAGACACCAATAATGACTTTCAGTCTTAAATGAGACACAGAAGGCAGCACTGGATAAACTGGATAAATGTACAGTATATATTCTTTATTTTTTTCTCTTTTTAAATGTTTTGAATATGACTAATCATTAAAGGTCATTTCTATTATATTGTCTATAAGGAATAAAAATCTAAATGAATCAATACTGCAAAAGATGAAAATTGTGTTCTCAATTGAACATGATGTGATAAAAAGGCTCAGTACTTTTATCCTGAAATTATATTTTATTCACAAAAGAAATCTCCTTCACTAAAAGCTGTCCCAAAAAAAAAAGCAAAGCTTCTGATAGTTACAGTGTGTCTGAGGGATGTGCTTTAGGACCCAGAGGAACCCTGATTCTGAGGCACAGAGAGTGTGTGTACTTAAAAAAAGAAAGGCAGGCACGCACAGTGTGTGACAGTCACAGCCATACACAGCACTGGACAGAGAGAGAGAGCATCATCAGATATCATCCATTCCAAATCAATCTGCTTCTGAAAAACAATAAGCAGACGCACTACCAGCCACCAGCAGCACTGCTCTGATCTTGTCCAGCTCAGACTTATGGAAAAACAAGGCTGCATTTAACACAGAATTGAGAATCTGGTTTCAACACAGTCACATCATCCACTAAGAGGACCTCAGCGAAACGGAGTCGGCTCTCTTCTTTTTTTAGAAGAAATTCAAGGAGACTATGTGGCATTATTGAATGACTAGAAATAAGGGAAAAGTGCAATGCTACAGTTTTTGAGTGACATGTTTTTTTCTATATATGAGCTAGAGATGTGACGAACATAAAGACTGAATTTAATTGGCTTTTTTCTACCTCAAACACCTTTTACAGAAGAGAGAAAAGAAAAAAAAGGACAATAAAGAACATTTTATTGACAAATCTCCATTTAGGAAGATTTATTCCAAATTCACCTGCTCTGTCTTGATTGAACTTTTTAAAGCTGTACCGAAGTAAGACCGACCCAAACCCAATATTTTAAATATTGTGGGACTGATTTTCGGTCAGAATGTTTTGCCTCCTTACCCATATCTTGTTTGATTTCTCCTCTTGTCTTCAAATAATTAATTACAATTAATTACAAGAAAAATGAATTATAAGAAAAATGTTTTCCACTAAAGAGGCACCAAAGACCCTTTTGAACTTTCCTGAAGAGGACATGTGAGAGGAGGAAAAACTCCTTATACTACAAAAGAAAATACAGGCACATTAGAGACGTTCATAATGACAACCTAACACCTGAAGGTCAGTGTCCATCACCATTGAATTTGAGGTGAGACATTTACTTTTTATCATTGTACATTTATCTTAAATATTACAGTTTTACTTAATTGTTGAATGTAGGAAGTCTTTTGGTTTGTGACCTCAACAAAATGCTAAATAGGTTGATTGCCAGGAGTTGCATGTACAGTATAACAGGAGTCAATGGTACTGTATGTACAGTAATGCAACTTAAAGACATCTTATAGACATTTGTAGTCCTCTGAGCAATGATGAACAAAACATATTTTAGTATGCTCCTCATCCCAAAGATTTTTAAAAGGAAATTAGCCAAAGTGACCAAAATATAAACATAATTGTCTCATCGGATTTAAGATAAAGATTCTAAAACAGTAAGGGTGAAGCTGTGTAAGTGCTGTCAATATGAGACTAATAACCAAACAAACATGTTTAAGTATTAAAAATACAATTCAAGTTCTTAATTTTTGACATCTAGTAATTTGCATTTACTACATTTTAAATTAAATTTGTCTAATAATTTAACTAAAAACGTTATTTAATCATTTCTCTCAACCAGAAATGTACTTACCTTGGTAGCAACGTACAGTAATTCTAAGTTTTATGTAGAATTTATGTGTGCACATGTGCAGGGAGTGCCTTCTACAACAAAATTTGTTCTTGACTTTCTGCTTATTATTAAAAAAGTATTTTAATAACCCTTAATAAAATATTATTAAGAAGACTACCTTTGCTTGAAACCTTGATCATATAAATTTAAGAAATTAATCATTTTTGTTGTTTTTTTAGTAACTGAAGAAATTGTCTATACAACACCATACTATGCACACAGGAATGCCCAAATTCCAAAACCACCTTCATCTAAAACAATCAGTATTTAAAAAAAATCAAGTTTAACCAATTATCTGCAGATTTTCTTTGAAGACCAAATTATATTATAAAGGTAATAAAAATAAATTTACAGCTATTCCTTATTGATAATATTTGTTCATGTTTGAACCAGTTTTTGTCATCCTCTGGGAATAACAAGGTACTGTATATGTAGAACAGAGGTCACACATTCACCAAATAGTGTTCACAAAACACAACAGACAACACAAGTGTTTCCCGCTTGGATGAGTCAGGTAAGGGAGCAAGGACAACTAAAGTTAGAACTGAGCATTTGTTTTTAGTATCACACGTGACTTTTCTTGATCTTAAATGCGATCGATTCACAGAAGGTGAACAACCGTTAGGCTGAAAACAATATTATTGTCAAGGTGTGTGATCACTGGGCTAGTACACATAGTACACTCAGGGGATACAAAAAACAACAAAAATAAAATGAAAGGAACATGATTTATTTATTAAACCTAGGAAGCCTTTGCAATTAAATTCTTGTTTCGTTGCCAATAGTTTGTGATCTCTGTGCCAACACTGGCATTTGAGGAAATACAGACAGTTTAAGATCTTGAATTTTTCATTGCACACATTCATTGCTTATTCTGTAAACGTCTCCTGCACATACAGTATTGGTCGCAGAGTGCAGCAGTAGTTAGTTTTGTTTCCTAGCAGAGCTGGGGCTCTTAATTTTAATTCACAGGCTGCTGTCGGCATTGAATTTTTATCCTTTATCTGTGTGTGCGTCTATGTGTGCTCCTTGTGATGGACTAGTGTCCCATCCAGTTTGTATCGTGCCTTGTGCCCGTTGCTGGCTGGAATAGGCTCAGTCCTCCCTGCAACCCTCTTCCCAATCCTCGTCCTGGTGACCCTCACATCTGCTGGTCTTTATTCCATCCCACCTTAATTAGAGAACTGAAGCCTTACTTGATCTAAGAAGTTGCTTCTATTGGATATTTGCATTTTGTTTCTAGTCTCAAGGGTGGGATTTTATTTAACTTCCAAAATGCAACAATTAAAACTCTAACATGTTTTGACTTGGGAACAAACAGTTCAAAATAATCTTCTCATTAGGTCAATGAAGGGTTTGATTGTGTAACTGAGGACTCGGCTGTAATAAAAACCAACAGTTGAGTGGTCACCAGGACCAGAATGGAAACCATTGCTATATAAGATAAATGGTCAGAAGATGGATGGGTGGACATACAGTTTTTACAGAATGTTGGAGAACATGCCTAACAGTGGGTCAGTCCATGTCAAATGGCTGTGAAAACTGTAATGTCATATAATATCATGTTACTAGATGTTCGTAGAAGTCTGTGGAGATATGGGACCACTCACCTAGCACATTTAGTGTTGGTATTTTTTGTCTTCTAAGAGCTGCCTGGAAACCTTAGAGGCTATTTGAATTTGCCTTTAGCAATGCACCAGTGTGTCAATAAACATACTGTAACTCCTGTAATGTTACTTACTGTACAGTACATCAACCTTCTTTCTCCCAAAGAGACAAAGGGCCCTAGTTTGCTGGCTCTGCCATCAGGGGTCATGGGACAGGCCACACCTTGGGTCTTACATAAATCATTTACTGGGAAAGGTCATGCCCTACACACCATGTCCACATGTGAGTTACCCATGCAACAGCAGAATAGCAGAAATGTTAATGTAAAAAGAAAAACTGGTTAACAAATACAGACTGTAAAGTCAGACTGTTCTAATAGAACTGGAAGCTTTAGATCTGGTCTGCCCTGTAGAACACATTCACATCTCCTCTAGCAAGAACATAGTATTATTCACACCTTTACACAGTGACCTTGAGAAAACCGGAAGAGAAAATAATACACAAAACCTTATCTGGGGTTTCTAAGGACACAGGTACAGAGTAGAATGATTGCTGTTGTGACACCTTAGGAATTGGGAATTGATTTTTATGTTTAAAAAAAAAATCAAAGTAATGAACTCTTATTCAGAGAACAAGGTAAATTAACAGAACCCCTAACATAAATTTTGATTAACTCAAAAAGTGTAGAGGTACTACTGTATATATTTAGCCTTATCTCATTTATTAATGAAATACTCAGTTTACATAATTACATAATTTCTCTTGATTTACCTTTATTAATAATCATTTTTATTTAAATGTAGAATTAAGTAGGCAATTTGTAGCATAAAAATAACAGATGATTTTGGTCCAGATTGTTGAATCATGTTTGGCCTTAATCATGGCTTATTCGTCCAGTGTGTCAGAACAGTGAAACCTTACAAAATCTGTCTTTCCTTTCAGCCAAGCATATATGACACTTAAAATAACATTTTAAGATTGAAGCTTGCTTGCCTTTTTAATACTGAATTTTCTATAACATTGATATTTGCTGTTTGTTTTCCTTTAGTTATTATTTTGACACCATATACTGTACAGTCATTCTGTAATTCCATACTTTCTTGTAAACTACCATACCCTTATCAGATAATACAACTATCAGATAGTTCTGTCATAATAATTACACTATTAAAATAAAATAATGAAATAGTCAGCTCAAAATAATAAAAACTCAAACTCTTTCCATTAGCCAATCCTGCAATGTTTTATGGAAACGTTATCGAAAAAGCAAACCAGAGAACAACTTTGGATTCAATATCATTACATAGTGAAATATTAATAAGTAAATATTCAATTGCCTTTGTGTGTTGCTTTACATTTTGAAAACCTGTGATAACACTAAAAAAAAGCACAGTAGCTTTCATTGCCTTCCGATCACTGTTAATCTATTAGTGATTTAAATTGGCCTTAAATTTGTCAAATGTCTTCAAAATATCTATACTTCTGGCAACACATTCAAACCGAAAATGATGTTATAAAAATTAAAACAACCTTACATAATATTGAAGGATACTTCTGCTTACAGCAGCCACATGCCCTCTGCAGTTCTTATTAGCAAACACAGCAAAGGCAGTTCAAAATGTCAGCAGAAACAATGTCAGAGGAATACTGCTCAAAATGAAAACAGCAATCCAAAAACACCCTACAGAAAAAGATGGCTAAAAAACAAAAATGAAGGCGATTTTATTTCAAAATACTATACCTCCTAGAGGAGGTATGGGTTCGTCAATATGAGTTTTCATCTGTTTCTTAAACAAGCATAAGCTGGTAGGGGTTGATTGGGATAGGGTTAGAAGAATAAGGTTCAGTTCTGCTTGTACAAATTTGTGTGTAGGTGTCCATGCACAGAGAGCTAGCTGTTGTTATACAAGGCAAGTTGAACAATCCACGAACCACTCATGAGGGGATCTGCTGTATTAATGATGAAACAGAGGTGAGTTCACTGTCCAATGTACAGTATTACTAAAGCGAGTAATTTCTTTTCTCTTTTGGATTACTACAAAAGTAATAAATGTAGTTTTTTTTTGTATTACTACAAAAGATAACTTTCCAAAGTCAAAATGGTGGCGTTCCTAATTCCAAGCACTTCAGAGTTTAGCCATCAAGATTCCTAGTTCCACTGTCAAGATGAACAGCTGCGTATTAGCAGGCCTTGTGTCCTGATTTACATGAGCATTTCATAGTGAAAATTGCTTAAGATTGCCAGTGATAGCCAATAGGACTTTCAATACACAGGGAACAGGGAATCATAAAAATGAGCTGGAAATTGAAATGATAGGCCATCAACTTTCATATAGCCAGGTCATTCAAAGTATCCAGCATTCTTAATGCTTCTTATAATTAATGCACTATTTTACACAATTTCACACTTTTTACACAGTCAAATGAAGATTCAGTGTCAGTAATCACTGAAGGTCTGATTGAGAGAAGTGGTCTTCCCACAAATTTGCTTTTGATGAAAGGCATTCAGTGCAGGGTGAAACAAGGAGTATAAAAAAGAATCAGCGATACATACTTATTGCAGCTGATTGCTGAGAGACAAGTAAAATAAAGAAAAAGACAGGTTGGAAATGATCCTTCATCAAACAAAAGGATGAAAGAATTATGCTAATTTTAAAAGGTGTAATGAAAGATAATAATCAAGGAGCTGAGCAAAACATACTGAAAATACACAGTTGTGAGGCACTAATATTAAGCTATGGAAACCTACATTATATTGCTTGTCAATACAGGTCAGCTTATCTTTTATGATCTGTACAGTGACTAGAGGCATGTCAAGGTGTTGGTTGCTATGTTGAGAACATTCTTCTCATATCAAAATATTAGGCGCCACAATGTGACAGAAAATATTGGCATTATTCAGCCTTAAATCCTAAAATGTGAAGATGTTATATCACAAAGATAAGTTATTTGTGTATGCTTGCTAGAATTTTTTAAGTTTACCCTGTGTAGCAGTGTAACCTTGTTCTTGGCAATAAAAAAAGAGAAAAAATATTTTTTACCACGGCCAAACGAGATCTTTAATAAGGATGTTGAACATCCTTATTAACAGTAATAATAATAATAATAATAAAAAACAGTAACATACATTTTGTATTAGAATCTTTCTCGGAGCGTTTGGCACATGTACGTATTTGCCTTTCCTTGATGGCACTGTGGAACTGTGCCTAAAGTGGCATGGTGCACAAGTTAATCTTTTGGTGTTCCAACTGACAGGATATGGGCTGAGTTGTTCCAGACAGGATATGTTTTTGTGTAAAAGTGGAGCGTGTTGTATTTGCAAATTTAATACTTTGCTTTACATTGCAGCAGTTAAAAGTAAACCATTTTAGAAGGGTGACAATAATAATAGTTCACCTCTGGCCTTTTTTGTATATTTCATCACTGGTCTTTTGCCTTAATCCATGTTGCATTTTTGTCTTGTGGAGATCCATGTAAATAAACAATTAAGGACAGCACTAGCATTCATTAGAATGCATTGCAGCTATTGGGGGCATTTTAAACCTTTTTTAATGAAAGAAAGAGTTAAGCTACATCTAATGTAGATTATGGCTTTGGGGCCATTAACAAATCCAACAGGACAATAAAGCTTTTATTTGCAAAACACACTAAAATCCTACGTTTGAATTTTTTTAAATATGATTCCTGAATATCACGTGCAAATATATTTTTGCTACATACAATCCCTGAAAAATTATCCTGTAAGATATTTGAATATTTTATGAGAATTAATTAACCATAGTACAGATTCACAAATCCTATACACCAGCAAATAGCACAGCTTAAGAATTGTGGTCAGATGTATCTCATAGTTTTGATAGATTTATTATCCATTGAAAACATTGTAAAAAATGTTAGCGTGCTATGCATTGCCTTACCTGGGCAGCCAAAAACCCATTTAACCCTTCAGCACTGTGGGTCTAAGATTACTGTATGTTGCTGTCTTTTTTCCAAATGTTTCCAGAGGTTTTTCCTTCTTCCTGTAGAACACATTGATATATATATTTTGTATTTCCCATTCTCACTTGTTTTTAATAGCCTGAAAACCAATAGAGGGAATGCAATACTCACCTGCATAATACACCTCCTCTGAAAGATGACATAGGCCCCCTTGCTTCGCAGCACATTAGCATCTATTTTTCACCTATATTGCCGTCCATCCAAACTGTGGCTTCTTAATGTAGTACAGAGCTATATAACTAGGAAAGAAAAGAAAAGGGCATGCTGTCATCACAAGTAATAAATGTATTAAGTCCAAACTGAGACTTTGATGGACCTTTTATTACACAGGAAAGCTGCTCTCTTACATACATTAGTAGGAGCTAAACCATAGGTTTATCTACTGAAAGGGTCTGTTGTTATTGAAAACCAATATCAACATCAAAATCTATACTACAGCTACTTGACAGCTGATGGTAAGCTTATAAACTAGGCTGTTCTTATGCATCTTATGTTCTTGTAATGGAAATTTCATCTGGCAAGGAAAGAGCTGGTTACAGTTACAGATTAAACTACATCATCAAGGATAACAGATGAAATAAGATTTTTCTACTTTTTTTCCATATAGAAAATAATCTTGCTGGACCAAAAGAAAAATAAATAGCTCCAGAACATTAAATAGGTTACTTTTTTGAATTATTCTTGTGTTCCAATTAATGGCTAGAGACAAATGCACTTTAAAAAATGCTGAATATACTGTATAGTATGCACGACCTGAAATTGTGACTTTCTGGTTTAATCTCTTAGGAGCTCTTGCAAACTCTTACAATTGCAGAATCTTTGGTAAGTGGGATTCTTCCTTCTTCTTTTTGTGCTGTTACAAAAAAAAAATCTTAGAAATGTTAAAATATCCTTTTTTTTATTTTGCAGGACACAGATTTTATATCAAGATATTTTCTAAAAAAGGTCACGCCAAGTGGAACTAGTTCAGAAGGAAACAGAAACCCTAGAATGGGGCAGTTAAGTATGCTTCTTGAAAAGCTCTCTTTATGAACTATGGAGGTCTTAGGTCAAATGTTGAACCCGATGACAAATAACACAGCAACAAATGACTCTTCTAGTCACGTGAAGCCTATTTCTACACCTGCAAGCACAGATCTAGGAGTTTTTCCCAACGTACAAACCAATTTCAAAAACCTGCTTGGGATTTTCTTTATGGTGTCACTGAACATTGTTGCGCTACTGGCCAATACAGCTGTAATAGTGGTGATCATCAAAGCCCCACATTTGAGGAAGTTTGGATTTGTCTGTCATCTGTGCATTGTGGACCTTCTCTCTGCTGTATTCTTAATGCCCCTGGGCATTGTCTCCAGCTCCCCCTTTTTTGATATGGTTGTGTTCAGTGTGTTGGAATGCCAGGTTTATATTTTCCTTAATATCTGCCTTATTTGTGCCTCAATATTTACCATAACAGCCATTAGCATTGAAAGGTATTATTACATAGTACATCCCATGAGGTATGAGGTCAAAATGACCCTCAGCCTAGCTATAGCAGTGATGATTTTCATCTGGGTTAAGTCGATTTTATTAGCATTCATTCCCTTGCTGGGGTGGTCCATGGACAGTACTCAGACCTCAACAAATGCTGCCCATTGCTCTTTATACTGGAACCACAGCAGCTACAAAAAGATCTTTGTCATTATCTTCAGCATCCTCTGCTTTTTCCTCCCTGCCATTGTCATCTTCACTGTGTATTGTAATGTCTACAAAGTGGCCAGGATTGCCGCTCTGCAACATGGACCCATTCCCACGTGGGCCACTAGTCCGAAAAGACGCTCCGACTCGATCAACAGCCAGACAACAATCATCACCACCAGAAACCTCCCCCAAAGGCTTTCCCCTGAGAGAATCTTTGGAGGGAGCAAAGCAGCGTTTACTCTGATTATCATCGTGGGCCAGTTTCTTCTCTGCTGGCTGCCTTACTTTTCATTTCACCTGCACTTATCAGGCAACAAAGCACTCAAAAGCCCAGGAGACATGGAGATTGTGGTCACTTGGCTCGCCTATTCCTCTTTCGCCATCAACCCCTTCTTCTACGGACTTCTGAACCGGCAGATCAGAGAGGAGCTGTGCAAGCTCAGAAGGTGTTACATGACAAGGCCCACAGAAGTTGGCGTGTCTAGCCACGATGGCTCCCTTCAGGAGAACTTCCTTCAGTTTTTACAAAGGACCAGCTGCACAGTGGAAACCCGCTCCAGTTACATCAATTCCAGCCCCAGAAACACTCTAGACCAGACTATACAAGGATTCCGTATTCCTGGACAAATTCCCGAAGAGTTCAGCTGAGCAAAGAAAGGCCTTTTCATGCTGCCATTTTGTTGAAAATTTTTATTTATTTTTTAATAGTTTCAAATGGTTTAAAATGTGGCTTTGCCTCAGGGTTGTTGAACTCATCCTTATCCTAGAAAGTTTATTTCAACCATAGAATAACTTTTGAAACCAAATCTTACACCAGCTCACCTGGTTCTATTCAAAGTGATTTATTCTGAGAAGGTATGTTGGAGGCACATTTTCCATTTCAAAATAATAAGAATAAAGATGATCAGAAAAAGAAAGATAGGTAGAATCAACTGTTTAACTCTACAATAAAATAGACTTTGTCATGAGTATGTATCAGGAGGAAAGTGTTAAAATCATAAAAAGGTCTTTTCTGCACAGCTAATTACTGCAAGGATTGTGTGGGAAGGTGTAATATATATTTTTTTTATTTGTTATGTACTGCTCTGCTGTTATAAAGCTGAGCAAATAACGCAAAAGACCATGCCGCAATCTGCTTCTCTGAATGAGAAATTTTTCAAGCATGCACTTTGCAGTAGTTGAGCTTTTTGAAGGGGATATTGTGTTTGAAGAGCTCTGTTGTAAAGGTTGGTGGAGAATCCACAATTCATTACATCTTGTCTGTATTCTCTAACAGTGAAACAAAAGTGAACACAACTTGTTAAAGCACAAAGCAAAGCACAAACATAGGTTAGTGTCTTTCTTTGGGCAACTTTCTCAGATTTTTCTCAAAACCTTTGCTGTTGAAAATAGCTGTTTTGCTTTTAATCAAATGCCTTTTCCCTTATTGTCTGTAAAGGAGCATTTTTTTGTGCATATACTGTTTTGAAGCAATGTAGAATACAACAGCAAAACACAATGTGCTGCTTTCAGCATTTGCACTTTTTCCTCTAATTATATGTCATTGTATTACTTCACTTTGGTTTTTAGATCCAAAGATATTGATTTTTTTTCTGTGCTTTAAAATATATCACTTAGAAGGAAACATTTCTTAATATAAAGCAAAAAATGTTTTGAATTTTGCTACTTGCTCTTAGTAGTTTGTACAGGGCCTATTTGTATGTGCATATGGCTTCTTATTTGTAAAAATAAAAAGATTATTGGAAAACATCAATGGGCTTCTTATTTCAAATTTACAGTAAGTGGACATTATTCCTTCAATGAAACAGTGGTTTCTATGTATCCAAGTTTAGGCGATGCTCACACTTTATGAACTTGGTTTAAGCTTCCAACTGCAATTACATACAGTGTATTTAGTAAGGAAATGGAGGCACAATGTTTTACCTCTCTAAGTCTTTATGATCAAGTTTAATGTGTTATAGTACTTTAAAAGATAATTCAAAGAGATACAGTACATTAAAATGTAACAAATAAATAATGGAACCGATATAATTTGTCATGTATCTAATGCCTCTCAATTTAATGTGTTTTTCCTTCATTGCCATAAAACGCAAACAGACCTAAATTACAGACATTGGTGATTTGATATTGGAAGCTGGGGATTACCCCAACGAGATATAATACAGATTTAAAAGTCTTTCAAGGTTTTAGACATTTGGGGAATACAAAAAATTAAAAATATAAATACCATGACCTTTGCTTTAGAACTGAATCTAGTGTTGAAGCAGTCTCATTTTAATAAATAATCTAAAGGAGTTCTAATACACCCCCTCCAAGCCATCTGTCTCAGTTGCCATGGGAATGCAATGAGACAGGAAGCTGATAACTTTCCTGTTGCTCACATAGCAACAAGGTGCTTTTAAGCAGGATCTTTAACTGCAGAGACAAAACAAGAAAAAAAAGTGAGTGGGTTGCTTTTGACATGCCTTAATAATGCATAGCTGATAGCCCCTGGCTGCCCAAAGATCTATAGCCTCCAATCAGTGCAACCGAATAATAGGAGGACCATCTCCAAACCAAGGAGATGAATATTTATTGTGACATAGTAAAAGACCTTGGAATGAAATTACTGTATAATTAAAATAACAACAAACAAAGATAGCATAGTATGTTTATGGACTTTATTATCTGCATGCTACAGTGATGCTAAGAGGAGCTAGAGGAAAGCATCCTTTGTAAATAGTGATAAGCTCTCAGATAGCACATTATCTACAATATTCTACTGTATTATGAAGTAAAATAAGTAAAAGCGGTTATATTGACACCATATACTGTAGCATTTCACGCTGCCAGACAGAAAATACCCAAATATGTCTGTTTTATTCAGACAGTTCAGTATTGAAAATTAAATGAAAAGCAATGTTCATCTTGTTCAGTGTTCTTTGATTTGAGCAAATTCTAGTACTTTACATTTTTTCTGTTGTCTTGTTTGGGTAGTATATCCTTTATGTATAGCTTTAACAGTATAGCAGGATGATAGTATAGTTTCATCATGGGTAGGAGCAGAACCCACAGATAAACTTGTAATTTCCTATCTTTTGGAAAAGAAAGCACGCTGAACATTCAATGTTTTATTCATTGTAATTATTTAGGCTGTTTTCAGTTAAGTTTATCTACTTTGTTCAGAGAAATGCCACTGTTAGTTGTCATAAGATGGAATGAAGCAGTTTAAGTAGGAATGGATTACTTGTAGTAGGGCAGTGTTGATGCATCAGCAGTATTCAGTGACTTGCATTTGTCAAGATAATTTGGCAGTGAAATTTTAACTTTGCAGTTTTTTAAAAAAGCATTTGTCATGCTGTAAATATATAATTTAGCTTTGTGAATGTATATATTCAAATTTTAACATTTAAATGTTGAATTACCTTTTGAGGTGATTTATTTCAGATGTGTCATCAATACTTTGCTGTGATATTTTGATATATTGTAACTGTCATTATGATTTTTATTGCTTAATTTTGATAGAATGACTTTTTACACAAATTCCCTTATTAGAGGTGCATTATACAGGGACAACTTAAATATGTACAGTAGTTTTATCAGTGCAGGAAAAGCACACAATTATTTAATTTTGAGTACTACTTAGTCATGTTCAAATCATAAAGGCTTCATGGATTGGAAATGCATATATATTTTAGCTCCATGTCTTTATGTCTATCATGCATTGCATGAAGACATACAGTACATAGCCTATAATACACACATCCAAGTGTTGAATTCATTTAGGAACACATGGGACCCATTAAAGAGACTTTCTCCATTACTACTTATTTCACTATAGATGGAGTATATTATGGAGAATAGGTTAAAATGAACCAACCACCCCTTTTAATTAGGGCATGTGAACATTTGCACAGCTGTTTCATTTTTTGGGTCAAGAGGAGTATTTAGTGCCCATTGAGTGATTACGGTTTCAGAACTGAGAAATAGGAGGGTGGATTCATGAATATTGTACACCTAAATCTGAAGACTGCTCAATCTATTTAAAGGTACACTTATTTGAAAATATGTAAAAATGTATGCTGAATAAGTCGGCTATATTGTTTCATTCACACTGTCATAGTGAGATGCACATTCTTTTGTCTGTCCATTAATTTGGTGTCATGGCAGCCTGAACTACTGTACTTCTCTCTCACATGCACACACTGTTGAAGCTTCTGATTTTTTGTTGAAATCTAAAGATTACAATACTTAGGTATGAAATTAAGCTCAATCATTTTACGTGATTTTGGATTAAGGGTTGTTTCCTTCTACTGATGTTGTCAGTCAATTGCTGGATTTTTCAGCATAAACAGTTCAAAACAAAAAACAAAAACAAAACAAAATAAAATGCATTGGATTCAGTTAAGCTTTTTTTCTAAGCTGTTTTACAAAGACCACAAACTTTCATCTATACATTAATACCAACAAAAGCTAAAAATATCTGTTTTGTCTGAGGTTTCACTACTTTCAGAGCGTTAGGTTTTTTTAGATGGAATGTTTGAGAAGTTAGAACTAAAGCATATTCAAATATCAGGATAACATGGTCTAAGCTTGTGTTTTTATATACTGAACGTATATACAGTATACTGTACATAAACAGAATGAGGCAAACTATCCTCAAAATGGCTGAAGTTCAGTCAGGTGAGCTTGTCTCATGTGAGACATACTGTAGTTATTGTAAAAGGTTTTAGGAATGTTAGAGCTGAAGGAAGCTGTAAATGTGAAATTAAAATAACCTGCAATACTATCAGTCAATGTAAATACAGGTAAAACAGCTACAACATTGAAAACTACAGCAGTTCTCCAATGGTTGAAGTGCATTGTGTCCAGACAGGGAAAATCTGGATAAGAACACCAGGTATTGATTTTTATTAATACAGTTGCCTAGAAATGCCAACCCCATTTAATCTAGTGCCATTCTTCTATCTAATTTAATTAACACAGCTCCTGGAAGAAGACTTTCTGTGGACCAGAGATGTGCCAGATGAATAGGCACTGTTTCAAAGGCAAGTGCTCATGTTTTAAGATAATCAGAATCTGCCTCTTCCACCTCTTCGATGGTTAATTAATGTACATTTACAGCTCACATAATGAAGCCTTAATCAAAGTGAAGATCCAGTTTATCAAACCCCTTTGTTGCTAAGGAAACATGCTTTGAAAACCACACCGCAACATGTGAGACTTTTGCGCTTCAAGCATCTGAAAAATTCATTACTTAGGTTACTGTACGTTTTAAAGAAAGACACCGATGTAAACTTGAATTTGGATGTGCTAAAGGGTTTATTGGATAATGCACATAGGGTGTTCTTTTTATTTATCACTTCATTGCTGTATAACCCTGGGAACACTGCAGGGGATGCAAACAGGAATTTCAAACTGCTCAAAGCAAAATGCATGCAAACAGTGCAGCTATATATCAAATCAGTCATGTCAGAGCAATTTTTGCAGTTTGAAAATTTGGACACACAGAGATTTAAAAGCACTCTCTCCAATTTGGAACCCACAGTGGATAATAAACACACTTTCACAGCTATTGTCCCAACACATGAGGAACCTATCATAACAATCCATTTCCAAGCCAATAATCCATTTCACAGGAGCCTATCCTTGTAAGAAAAGAGGGCAAGGTGGGAAACAACCTGGATGGTATGCCGGTCTGTTGCAGGGCCCACACAGACAAACGTGTACACTCTCACATCAGGGCCAAAGTTCCAAGAAGCCACTTAACCAACCAGCGAGTCTTTGGACTGTGGGAAGAAACCAGAGCGTCCGGAGGAAAGTCATACAAGCTCAGGGAGAACATACAGTACAAACGCCACACAGATAGCACCCCAGTTACAGAATTGAAACCAGGGTCCTAGCACTGCGAAATGGCAACGCCTACCACTTCACCACAGCACTACTCCTTTCATAACCAACTACCATTTTTCACCTGGAACATGCTGTATCTGAAGGCAATATGGTGTGGTGAAGAGCATAGTTCCAGGCTTCTGGGTTCAATTACAACTTATCTGTAGATAAGGTTTACCAGCTACTCTTATTGCCTCACAGGGGCACCCTGGCTGGCTCTCAGGCTTGGTCGCTCTAGGAACGTTTTGTACCCAACCTCAGTCAGCTAATAACATACCCAGATTTCGTCTAGAAAGACTATAGGGCTTAACCAGGGGGTCTAAATGAGTCCAGGCCTCTTGGTTGAGAGTCCTGTGGCCCATTTCTTCTTTTCTGTAGACAGATTGTGTTATTCACAATATGTGGTTGTTACTGTGTTACCTTGTTTTGGCACATAAGCTCTGTTTACATTATTGTAGTTGTTTCTTTACCTCTTCATTTATTAACAGTCTCTGAGATAATCCCCCAACCCTTGTACTTTGTTTAAGTGGGAGCCGAAATAGTGTTGTCTTTAACATCTGTATAAGTTACATGAACTTTAAGGTTAAAGTCTAATTTTGTGTGATAAAGAAACCAGTGTCCTTTATACAGTAGGTGTCTAGTAATAATAATCCAGTCCAAACAACAATTTGAGAAGAATGTTTTAAGATTTAGCAATATATTTAATTCTATTCAAAATCAGTTATTTCTCACATACCTGTTTCGAAATCTGATGGCTTTCTATTGCATTGACATTTTATCTAGAGAACTTAAAAGGTCAGGTGTAGCAGGTACACCATTAATTGCCTCTTCATTATAAACATTCAATTGTAGGGGACCAGAAGACATCAGATGAAACAAATATTTATCTGTAATAGATCATTAAGGAAGGAGTAGACATAGGACATTACTGTAAATGTATAATAGAACAAAATTCCAAATGGAAATTATCATTAAAAAGTAAGTATAAGTTACACATGGCTTTATCACGATGAGTAGCAGTTCGAGCTGCAGCTCACAGTTTGACTCCAGTCTGAAAAATCCTCTGTGTGGTTTTTGCCTGTTGCCTATGGCTGTGTTTTTTATAGGTACTCTGGTTTTCTCACACGTTCCAAAAACATGTTGACTAGGTGAACTGGCAACTGGCAACTCTAAATTGCTCCTGTATGATGGTATGTCCTTTAATGGACTGGTATACTAACAAGGATGTGTTCTGCCTTGAGCCTATTGTCTGCTGATTTAGGAGCTGGTCAAACATGTTCCTGTATTGGACTGGGTTATTCTTGAAAATGGATAGAAAAATGGATTTTACATGACATTACAAACACAAAAGGCAGACACAGCAGGATATTTCAGCTTTTCTAAAGCAAAATCACTATACAATTCCAAATGTTGCCTTGTTTCTATTGATATATAGCGTTCTGTTACTATATTTATAGGAAAATCCATCTATTTATAAACACTAATGATGTTTAGACTTCACATTAGGAATCCTCATGTAGCCCAGTAGCAGGGGTTAAGTGGCTTCTGAAGCACATCTATGGTTAAAACTGAGAGACAGCAGGAGCACCTTTGACTGAATTGTAAAAACTAAAAGAGACCCAGACTAATGAAAGACACAAGAAAGGAAGCTTTATCTTTGGCTTCAAACGATGAATTAAATAAATCCGTTTGTCTGTGAAAAGAGGCTATGCTTAACTGAAGTCATGTGATGTGATTATAGATTCATATTACAAGTGTCACATTATGATCAAAACATTGTGTGATATAAATAGAGTTTAAATGTGGTCAGGAATGTTGTGATGAAGATTAAAGGGCACTGATTAAACAAGGAGAAAGGCCTATTTGTCTGCATATCCTTATAAATGAATGCACTTGGACTGCAAATGGCAAACAGAGATTGTAAGATACCATTATATGCAGATGTGCTACCTTAACAAAACCAGACTTGCAGAAGATCTTAAGTAAACGCCATTAGAAGATTTTGGAGAACACCACAATTTTTACAATAAAATTTTAAAAAAAGGCTATTAGGTGCTTTAATTCAGCATTCAACATGTGCTTTTTACCTTTTTTTCGTTATATGATAATCTAGATTTTCAACCTGTAGCAATTGATTAATGCTTTCCAGGAATGGGAGTAGCAAATCTGTTCTTAAAAAAGGTTACATAGTTTTTCTTACATCTTTTGAGCAAGTACTAAATACTGCATAAGGGGGTTGAAATACCCCATAAGTTTTCTTATTGCACCTCCCATCTAAAAACACTTTGTCTATTATGTGTATGTGTCCATGCTCCCACAAAGAGCACTATCACCTTCAAAAGCAATTCTTACTCATTCCATCACTGATGCTAAAATGTCATTTTCTGCTTATCAGGAAATTTTAAAGTGTTTGACTGCTAATTTTGCTGGCTGACAGATTCTGAAACACGGAGTAATATTTTAGCAAATATATATGATTAATTCCATCAACAATGCAGATGAGAAGCAAGTTACAATTCCGTGTAGACTGCATATTATTCTTGAAATCTTGGATTAAATCTGGATCAAAACTGTTTGACATTTTGTAGAACATTGCAAGAGGTTTCTACATAAACTGGAAACTAGAAAATACACTATTTTTGAGGCAAGCATACTGCATACATTAAAAGGTAAGGTTAGCTGATTTTGGATTAGTTGTGGGGAGGGACAAGTTGGGCACACACCCTCATATCTGACATCTCAGAAGGAAAACATGGATACAAATAAACTAAGATTCTGTGTGGACAAATGATTTTGTTTTCAGTTTATTGTTAATATAAAATATTTTGTTGTTACTGCGATTTCATTCATGTAATGTATGCTAACGCTTTTATAGCTATATTAGCTGCCTCATTGTGCTGCACAGAATTATAGTATATTGTTAAAAAGGACACTTATCCATCTTAGAAACCAAGCAGAATTCACAGCCATCATAACAAGCAAATATGTATATACAGAAGAGGAAATGTGAAAGTGTGGGATAGTCCAAAAATTCTGAAATAGTATTAAGATCTAACATTATGAAGCTGAGGGGTTTGTACAGAATCAGGTCTTGTGCTTGCTGTAGTGCTTAGTGCAGGATAACAGAATCCTGCTGGGAAGACACATGACACCAGTAAGAGATGCTGTGCACTGCTGTTGCAATCAATTTAGACTTTGTTATTAATTTAGCTTCTGAGTTTCCTAACCACTTAAATGCCAGCTTAATATGAATCATTTAACCAGTATGTTCAAGCAGTACAAGATCTTTTTGTACACTTGTCTCTATCCAGACACAAGTTTCTTATGAAGTATTGAATCACTCATATGCTCCACAGTGGGAAAAGATTGAAAATGCAGATGTTTTTTTGTCACATCCCTCCTCCCGATGCATGTACTGTAACTCTCATTATTCTGTCTTCCAGGGGGGATCCTGTTCTACAATAATTAGATTCTCATCACGCCGATTAGCACAGGCCAGCAGGCACTGGTAATGACCTGTTTCTGCAAGGTTAGAGTGAGCTATCTCCTTACAGTGTGGTCAGGATTGAGGACTGTGTTTGGTGGGAGGTTCTGGTGAAGGGGAGGTTAATATAAAGGCCTATGGACTCCTTAACACTACAGTTGCATGCTAATAAACGGTTTGTATATTATCATTATACTAAGAAAGCAGTTGTGCTTGATGGCTATTCATGATTAACAGAAAATTAAAATTCAGGGGTCAAGCTTTTACTGAGTAATCGTTTGAGGAAATAAAGCAAGTCAATGTCAGGTGGATCAAGACAGGTGCAGGTGTGTCCAATGATTTCCAATGATTTCAGTGCCAATGTTATTTCACTTTCCTGCTCAGAAGCAGCCTGCCAGCTGCCATTGCAATGCATTAATTAACATGCCAATGTCAACGTTTGTGGGTAAGAACAATGTACAGTATGTCATGAAAACTAGATTTTACCACTATTTTCCAGCAGGAAACCGGCAGGGTTTAGTCTGAATGCTGCGTTCTTCTTTCCTGGAAAAAATAACATCTTTGGTTCAGAAATGAGTTGCGCATTGAGTCTAATGCTGCTGCTTTCTGTGTGATAATACAGATGTTCTATTTAGATTTTAGATTTTGCTGAGTGTCATTTTATGTTATTCCAATAGATTCTTTCCAGGGAACTATCCCTCACTTTCTAGCTCCCCTCTTTCAATTGCTACTTATTGCGTAAATTAAAAATAAATGTTCTTTATTTTTCCATTGTGGGAAACTGCCTACTCCAGGGTAAATTATGTAGGTGGACAGTTCATCCAGAATGGAAAACTAGGCACTTTGTTTCCAATCAAGTGACTTACTGTTTGTGTTATGCTACAGATGGAGCCAAAAAGGCAGGAATATGGACTTGTATGTAATTGGACTTAGATTTAAGATAAGAACAGAGAGGTTATGAATTAATAGCATGGCTTGCACATTTACTTGGTCAGGATTTGCTAGCCCCAGGAAACTGATCTATCCACATTACCCAGACACAAGCTTAAGTACTGGCCTGACTGTTCTGAAAGCAGGCCCTCATGTTCATTACAAGGCAACACTTTGACACTTGTCAGAGCCAGCTTTCATATATTTTTTTTAATTCAGTTATCCTGTTAAAAATAAAAGACACAACAAATTACATTGCATACATTAAAATTTTAAAGGAAGTTAAAATCAATTGGGAGGACATGAACTAGAAAGAGGAGAAAGCCGTAACATTCCACCCACTCTCTTTTGGAAATATCTGGTGAATGAATGTAGAATGTATTTAAAGTGTGAGGGGGCTCTTGGGTCATTTAGCTTAGTATCTTAATACTGTATGTGTGCTTCTGTTTAGATAGTGACATTAATTCCTGTGACCTTTTATAACTTGGCATTGGAACTACGTTTCCATGCAATATACAGTAGAAAATAGTTTTTCTCTTAATCCTGAGCAAAGATCAAGTGAGGAATTTGTATAATATTGCAGGTTTCAATTTTGAATTATGATCTTGGAGTAGAGGGGTAGTTAAATTGAAATGTGAAGACATTTTAGTACAGTATATTTCTATGCTGATTGAAAGTTCAATGCTCTCTTTAGATACAGGTAGCCAGGAAAGATTGCATCTCAAAAATTTTGAAGTAAAGAGGACATTTTGCATATCGTACTTACATTTTGAGAGACCTGATATTTCAAACACTTGAAAAATGAATGCCAATAGCAAAAATAGCATTATTCCTGCAAAATGTAATGGAAACCCAGGTGTATTCTGGATTCATAGAGTACAAGACAGGACTGCACCCTGGATGAGACATTACAGTCCATTTTGGGAAATAAGTAGACAAGTCTTACTAGTCCTTACCAGCATGACTTTGGAAGGTGGGAGAAAACCAGAGACCATGAAACAGATAGGAAATTGCAAATTCCACACATAAGGGGCCACAGACCAGAAGTGAATCCTGAACCCGATACATGTGAAGCTAACTGCCACACCACCCTGCTGCCCAAGTCGAAGCATGTTAATGAAAATTGTGATATGAAGACCAGAAGAGAGCACAATGATTATTAGCATTGATAAAGGGAAACTAATGAAATCGGGATGGATGCAGATTGAATTTACACTGCTGGAAGTATAAAGAACAAACAGAAATAAGTGACATCTAGGTTGGAATTTCAGATGTTCACATTTACTTTTTACAAAGCATACAGACCTTTAGAAACCTAATTTCTTTTCAGCCTGTTGATCAAAAATAAATTGCCATGGAAACCCTATTTTTAGAAATTAACATTGATTGATTGTGTTATGTGGCTATTAAGTGAGAATTCTCTCATTACTTTTAAACGTAATTAGTCCAATATATGTGATCTAATGTATTGACATGCAAACCTTTAAATTGTTCTGCTGTGGTGATGTGTCAGGTGTAACATTCATCTTTAATCAAAAACATTTCCCACTAATGCATTTTGATAGTTAGTGAACAGGCTTTGTTGATAAAGAATTTCCGAGGGACCCTGAGCTGTGCTGTGTATGTCCCCTGCAACCCATGTCAACACTGAATGAACTTTCATCTAGTTTCTAGGTTTTCTGTAAATAAATAAAGAGAAACTGAATTGCTGTTTAAATTGATTAGGCTGTTACATGAAAGCGATAAAATGTTTTGTCTTTATATGTATACTTTCCCTATTGATTCATTGTTGAAAGACTTAGCACTTTCACAGTATGTGATTTCAATATTGATTGGCTATATTCCTCTCAGTAAACAGGTTTCATCTGGAATCCCAGCATTATAAAATATACAGCACCTACAGTAAAATACGACAGTCTCTCATCCAAGGACATCAATTTTATGTTAATATCCATCTAGCTAAGTGGGTTTTATGCTACCTCGTTTCAGGTTACCCAGGAGTTATTTTCTGAACGGATTATTTTCCCTAGCACATTTAAAAGGCACATTTTGCAGACTTTCAAGGCTGCCTTGAGCTATTAATAGCTTGTGGAGGCTGATCCGTTAATGGGTCCAAAGGTTGGGGAAAACAGATTTTTCTGAAAAGCACGTTGTGAAATCATTGGTAAGAGAGTTTGTCATCCTGAAAACAGCAGTAATGAACTGGCTTTCCACCTTGAGCAGCTTCAACAAAACAAAGGCCAGTGTTGAGCAAAACCAAGATTGCAAAAGCACGAGATTGGCTATTGCTAAAAAAAGAGCTCTGCGTATTTGAATGGTCCATCTCAAATTTCACTTTTATTTGCAAGTGCCAGAAAGGCTACAGGTGGACCAAAATATGTTTTACCATACATTTTTCCCCTCATGTCTGTACCTTTAAGTCTATGCCATTCAAAGGAGGATCAGGCAAAATATTTATCCATGTAGCATCCAGTGCTGTGTTTAAATCAGATTTAATTAAGCACTTGGGTTGTATTTCATTTGTGCATAAAAAGCTGAATTATAATAAAACAAGAAAATTAAAGGCTGTGAGAACCTACACAATGACCAGCAGAGGACACTGTAAACCTATGTACAGTATGTGTTAAACATGTATATATTATAGGATTAACTACCAACATCTCAATGCGCAAAATTCTAAAAGAAGATATAAAACACTACTATATCAGCTGTATACTGGAAGGCAAGGAAGTAGGAGAACTCGAAGTGTCTTTGAAACAATCAGTTTGAGTTTAAAGCTTGTTTTTTTTAATGAATTAATTACAGCCTATGAGAAGCTGCTGTAGGAATGGAATTACTTAAAAGATGCAGTAACAAAGCTGCTATCCATGGTGCTGAAATATTAACTCAACGCCCATTCCTAACTCCTGCAAATGAAACCAAATAATTTAATTAACACTATCATTGAAAAGAAAATAGTTTCTCCATTGAAATGGTCAAGCAACAAGAAGTCATTTGACTTTGAACCTCTCAGTCGTAGTTACCAAAGCTTAATTTTTCAATAGCATTTTTCTCACCAGCATGAAGTTCTACTTTGACTGTCAATGAGTGTTTCTCCATGTACAGTAGATACATAATTTTTAATTGTTTCTGATGCCATCTGTAACCTTCAATATAATTCCAGGTGCTTTGCTACTGCAAATGTAAGGAGAAGGATTTGAGGTATATAAGAAAATGGTCTGTACATTATGAGTAAATGCATGATGCAAGGTTGCTAATGGTTCGACTAACTGCAAATTCTATCACCAATGTTGTACGTATAGAAATTGACTATAGTATTGACAAATCCTGTTAAGAATACTTTGTTTATATAGACCCATGAAATGTATGACCTGTATTTTGATACAACAGGTTTCACATTAGTCTGAATAATTTTGTTATCAGCATAGCAGGTAATGTACTGTACATTTACATAGTAAAATTTAGATTTAATGACATTGGCTTTGTGGACAGTAATGGATTAAGCAGTTTTATATTTAGAAAGTAAGATCCATTTTCCTGTAAATGTTGTGGTTTCTATTATAAAAGTTATTTTACTGGAAGGACAAAGTTTCAATTTGTTGTCATTCTGAAATTGTACAAAGGATCGCTGCTTTGTTTCTGAAACCCCCCTCACATTTATGCAACTCATTAACACGTTATTCTTTTCATTAGCACCTCAGCACACTACCCCATATTTAAATAGTGGAATGTATCACATTAGTACAAATAACCTGTTTATTGAGCTGCCAGTCAGTGTAACAATGTGAAAACTGCGCTTGTTAATGGCAGTTTGGAGATTCCTTCAAGGAGAAAGTCAGTGTCTTAATATATCCCTCAGACAACATTAACATCAAGCAGTTTCACACAACGAGGGCTTTTGGAGTGTCCACTTTGGAGGTTTACACAGCTAGATCCTAGTCTCTTGGCTTTTTTTCTGATCTGTACAACTTTCCGTGATGATCAAAGTGGATCATACTGCAGAAACCAAGAGTGCTCTCGATGTGGTAGAGCAGCAAGCAGAGAATAATGTCCACTCAGCCCAACAAGACACAATTCCTGTGGTGGAGAGTCGAGACCCAAGAGGTGTAAATGCATACCTTAAGGTAACTGTAAATGAAAGTGACTAAAACAAATTGTTTGATGCTTAATTGGAGCTTAGTAGGAAAACATGTCTGAAGAAATGTTTTTAAGATTGTGGGTGAATGTTTGAAAGTTTGTTCTAAGCAGAAATGTCTATGGAGAAAAGCTTACTTTTTTAATGCTTTTCAGGAAACTGTTTAGCATTTTTGGTTTCCATAATGAATGCAGAAACTATTATACGGACAAGTGAAATTTAAATATTGGAATATAAGGTACAAAATGTTTAAAATTAAGTGCGCATACAGATTAAGGCAACTACAAGTCACAGAACTTATATATTCCCTAATGTGATCCAGTTTTTAAAAATGCAAGAAAAAAAACATTTAGAAGAAAGTATTTCATGGTCTCCTGCTCCTTTTGCTTGCTGTTACTGACCTCTAGAGGACATTTTTTGTTTTTTACTTTTTCATGTTTTTTAAAAAAATGTTTGACTTCTCAAAATGATCAACTTATCTGCTTTTCAGCTATAAGCTGAAATATTTGAAACAACAATTTATAAATGGTCTTTTTCTTGTACCAGGATCCTTCTTTTTATTTTTCTTCGGTCAATGAAGAATCCTTGAACTTCAGGACAAAAAGATAGTGTATTTTTAAAAAAAACAGTCTAATGACTAATGTAACAATTGTTTTTCCTATCTTAGGTTTCCTTCGAAGATGTGATTGCAGAACCAGACACAGTACATAGTTTTGACAAAGTATGGATTTGGAGCCATGCCCTGTTCGAAGTTTCAAGGCTTTGGTTTTACAGGATAATAACACTTGTCCTTGCTATCCCTGTGTCTTTAATCAGTGGAATACTTTTTGCTATATTAAGCTGCCTTCACATTTGGTACGTAGGGCTTGACATACCTCTTATTACTATGTACTGTACTAAATCATCTGCCCTCAATTTTTTAATGACAGTTTAATATAGTATTCGCATTTCACATGTCTCTAATAATTTTCTTGGCAGTCATTCAGAAATGCAAAAAAAGGGAGCGATTTAGAAGCAGACCATAATTCATGCTGTTGATTTTCAATTTCTTTAAAGCTGAATATCAACAGACAAATTGCAATCTAGCAGTTAAGTATGTGAAATACAGTATATTGAATAATACAGTATTAATATTAGTTATTTGTTACTTAGACTTCACTACGCCTTTATATAACTTGCCATTTTCTGATTTGTTTCAGAATGCGTTTTAAAATCTGTATTCTTAAAGTTCAACAAACCTATATGATATAATTGATATTATAACTGTATGAAGAGGGAAGAATGTGTGATGTACTGTATTTAACCTCTCAGTTTAGGAATACACAAAAAATGCATATTGTAAAGCTTTTAATTGCTCTTATAGTTATTTCGACAATTACGTTTTCCGCATTTTCATTCCAGGTGCGTCATGCCTTGTGTCCAAATCCTGCTGATCAACATGAGGTCCATACAGACCATCTGGGGATCAGTCCTGGACATTGCCATCTCCCCTTTCTTTAGGAGTATAGGGAGGTGTTTCAGTGCAATCGGTGTGCGTTTGGCTCATGACTGAAACGTCACGTTGGGTCAAACATCTAAGCTGGCATCATAAAGTATGGTAAAGAAAGGAATGGATGACCATGTAACTTGTCTTAATACACCACATTCCAGAAGTAAGTGGTCAAAATTGATGGGTATAGACCAGGAAGCACTGCAAAGTTCTACCCTTGTTGCATTTGGTACAAAAGCTGTTGTTTCAAGCAGCGTGAAAAGCAAACAAATTTAGCTACAGAAATGAAGTATGAAATATAGAAATCATATGAAAGAGTAAGGCTAGCTGATGACCCATAAAACTATCGGGAAATAAAATCTGTTGTTTTAAAGGGTTGTGCTGCTAACGACAGCAATAAAACAAAAATGTGAATTTAATGTGAAGACAGCCATGCTTCATTTGTCAAATTTGTCAAAATGGCACAAGATCAAAGGAGCACCCTTTCCTTGTAAAAATGCCAATGTTAATATTTACTCCAGACCTACAAAAAATCAATTATAAAATATACTTTCTTAAACCTTATGTATACACTTTTGGGACAATGGAGTACATTTTAGGCTTTCTGTTAATGACAGAATTTGTTAGATTGTTGTAGAATTCCTAGCAGATTTATTAGTACCAATAAGTAACAATTCATAGATGTTATTGTTTAGTCTTTACTCATACTGTATATACAAGGCTGCATTTTTGCTGCCTGTCTGATTTATCTTTTTGTTCTTTTGGGCTAAATTGTAATGTACTTTTTAATGACGCCTCCATTAATCGGAATGATTTTTAACATTATTCAGCCTTGTTTATTGATTATGATGAGGAATTATGCTGTGTTTGAAATGTATACCCTGAAGGAGTATGTTTGCATTCCTTATGAAAATGTATGAACAACCAAAGCCTGGAAACTTGCGAGGAATGACCTTCTCTGTGTAAAACAAAAGAACTACCAAAGTTTGTACTAACACAATTATAAAAAGGACCAGTACTATGATGCTATTGTGCTGAATTTATTAAATTGTTCATTTAAAAAAATGAAAACTCTGTTGTGGTAATATTTATGACTTCAACACATCAATTTTCAGTAAGCTTAGTATCCATCGGGATTGCGCTGAACTGAAGCCTAATCCAGCAGGCACAAGGCAGTAGGCAAAGTTACACTGTGGAAGGGACATCACTTAATCACAGGACACACACACAAGAGGTCCTTTACAGATGCCAATTAACCTATAGAGAATGGGTCTGGACTGTGGGAGGAAACCAAAGTACCCAGAGAAAACCCAGACAAACTTGAGGATGGACCATATTTGGGGGGAAGTGTCAGCTCCATGTCACACTACCACTTATTGATGCAGCATAAATGCATTGAAAAAAAAAACATGGATTATGGGTAATAGACAGTTCTTGTTTATACAGGTCTTAAAGATGCAGAATACAGCATGCTCAGATGAGACATTAAAAAGAGGTTTATTTTCTGCATTTAACTTGATTCATTGATAGCTCCTTTTACCATATAGGAGATATTTTATGTGTAACAGCACCTTAAATACTTATACAGTGCACCAACTATATATATTCCTTCCTGTATTACTTGGTTGAAATTTGAGACCAATTATTACACCATGTGCTTCAATCAATTAAGGTTAAAAACAACTTTATATCAAATGGGATCATTTCTCTTTTGCAAAGCATCATAGGAGATCATTAGAACTTATGAAAGATTATTTAAGGGGCATTCGTTTTGCTCCTTGGTTGCTTGTTTGGTAACTCAGCAGCTAAGGAAATCTAAAATATTATCCGGCTATTTCAGAAAACTGGGCCTAGAGTTTAAGGCTCAACAATCTGGCTTCAAAGCCATTTCCAGATATCTAAAACTTTTTATGTAAGGAAGAAATTACTTTTATCTGTCCTGAATGATTTCACCCCATCATCCTTGTTTCACTACTGTGTGCAAAATAGTCCCTTGAGTTGATCCCATCTTTATCCCTTAGGTTTTTATACTGTACACTTGTATCGAATCTTCAAAACTGAAGAGATGTGGCCCCCTTGTTTGTCTTGTTGAGAAGGTAAATTAACTTACATTGACACCCAGATCAGTCACTAGTAATATGAAGACATGAACAATAGCATTGTTGAGATGTGCCTATAATATTAAAAAAATAAAATAAAAAAAATTGCCACTTAAACTATCTTGGTTCTGAAATTAAAGTAATATCTAAAGTAAGTGTACTGATGAGCTATAGGGTTAATTGGTTCTTTTAAGAAATGCATTAACAAACTTTCAAATTACGCAAATAATGGAACTCTCATCAAACATAGGACTTAAATTACGCTTGCGATTTCAAACTAAATAAAATAACAGCTAGCTCTGCTTATCCTAAAACAGGTCTATTTTCACAGCAGACAAGGAAACTATTGACATTTAATGAAAGGGCTATTTCATGTGAGGTCTGAAGGTACTGCATATTGGAAACATCTGCTGTTTATGTCAAATCATGCATTTTATGGGGTGTGATTGGAATGAAACTGGGTGGAAAGAAAATAAAACACTTGCTTTTCAAAGCAGATGGAATAAAAACTAATTTCTGTCAAAATGGATGAAATTCTAGTTATTTCTTTCAGGATTGTTAGAAGAAACATTCTTTAGTTCTAAATGAGACAAAAAAAAACATCACCCTAAGCTAAGGGATTTGTTGCTTGACTGTCTCGGATTTTGCTAGACAAATTCACCTGGGTGAGTTTGGTCCAGCTGAGTTAAGAAATGCTGGCCATTTAAAATGTGTGACCTCTCAGATGTCAACCTGAAATGTACAAAAGGGCCTTGACCAGAAAAATCATCCCCAACTCCATGTAGACATTTGCTCTTCAGCTAGGACTTCTGAGAAAACAGCATCTACTGTAAATCACTTTGTTGGCAAATTGGCATTAAAGTGGTTAGTGAGTTACTGTTAGTGTGGATAATCAGGTGTTAAATCTGAACTTATTTCTGTAAGAACCTTTGGGACTAGTTTCCATTTGTTGTGAACCAAAACAGTTTTGTTTTTAAGCACATGAATGGAGTTTATTTCACTAAAGTGAAACTCCCTTCGTCCTTCCTCCACCGAACACTATAAATACCAAATGTGATATCTCTCTCCCTCACTTGCGAATTTTACATCCCACCTCCACCCCAACTCCACCTCTGCAGCTGCCCTTTGGTTACCTTGGGGGGGGTCCTGGCCTCCACGTCCTACGGCCAGGAGGTCGGCCCTCAGCCAAGCGGGTTAAGCCAAATGTTCACTCCACAATAGTTCGTTACGCTTCCATTTTGGGGCGTTGTCATTCCTCGTGAAATGGGTCATGACCCCCATCCCATTTCAGTGTTATTGCCTGGAACAGGGGGTAATGAACTTCTTTCTGTGCTATGACAAAACCTTTGAAACTCCCAAAACTTATTTCCATTTCACAAACCACAAACTGTGGGGAAAACACAAAAATGTACCTTTGCAAGCCTGTCCCAAAACTCTCAAATTCATTTTTCTTGCAAAATTAGATGATATAGCAATGGTTCTGGAGTTTTTGGTAGAGCAGGAAAATTGAGGATTTTGTTGACGGACTTTAAAAAAGTCCCATTTGCTATGAATTGTACTTGTAATTGTAATTGTCATCCAACAGTCACGCAAGACATCAGGACAAGGGGTGTTACCCTGAATGAAAAATGGTGTGCTGGTAGTGACCATCCATAAAAAGGATGACAAAACAGAACCAAGTTGCTGGAGTTCTTGCTTGATTAATTTGATAAGATTCATTAAACAAGCAAAAACATTAACTGACCTGCACTGAGCATGCACTATGGTATATATTTTTTTCAGAAAGCTTTAAATAACCTCTCTTAAAAGATTAATTATTAAATTGTAGGGGAAATGTATTCAAGATATTGTGTGCAATTAGTGGAGTACAACATGGATCTTTATTAGGTCCCACTACTCCTGGTCTTCCTAGTTTATATCAATGATCTAAATTAGGCTATATCTAGTAAACAAGTGAAATTACCAAAATAGAGGGACTATGAAAGTAATTGCATAATGACTTAGAGTGAGCTCAGGCCTGGGCTAAAGGTTATGCGTAACACAGACAGGGACAGAGTAGTATATGTACTGTAGGTAGCAAAGTAGTCCAGAATAAAAAAGCTACAGTAGCTAATGACAATTGAGACTTATTACAATCTCCAAATAACATACAGTAGGGCAAGCAATTACAATTACCTACATTTTAAAACATAAACAATTTGAACACACTATATATGAGGTTATATATTTTAAACATAGAACTTAAATCAAGGAAAGTTAGGTTAAAATTGTACAATGAGCTAGTAAGATCTCATTCAGAATATTGTGTACAATTACAAATAACACAATTTGGAATCAGTTCAGAAAACGGCAATGAAATTCCTGGGATAAAAGAATTTCCTACATACTGTAGGCAAAATGAATTAACCCTTTTGTTCTTGGACACAGACCAGTGTGAATGTTAAAAAACCTTAAAGGCAGTGACAGAGTCAACCCAATGGACTTATTTAGAAACAAAATCTAAAACTCAAACTGAAGGATACAAGTGAAAACTACTGAGAAGTGCTTTTAAAACTGACAAGTGAAAAGGCAGCACTTTTTTAAAGAAAGTGTTGAATAGGACCCTGGCTTTGTTTAGAACATACCGTAGCAGGATGAGATCTAGCTATTAGCTATTATCAACCATAAAGCTTCATCTTTATATACTGTAGGCTAAATGATTTGTAACATTAGGTTGAGTGCTGGAGTTCATACTTTAGTTCCAATATAGGCAGCATGAATCTTGCCAGGAAATCCCAGCCTGCAAACGTTAATTCCTTTGCTAAAGAACACAGAAGACACACTTAACATACAGATTAGATATATATTCTCATTGAGCAGGTATATTATGAGTCAAATGTTTCCATTTTAAAAGGAATTTTGCTGTGCATTAATCTGTCCATGGTTTCATCCAGTAAGTAGCGAGATTTTTTTTTAGAATAGCTTGCTTTCACAAAAGTTGTAGTGTATGTTTTAACTGTCAGAGGTGTGCATTTTATTTCCCATAACTGCTACTATACATCCTTTTAAAGTGGATCTACAACATTCCATATGGTAGGATTACAGTAAATTAATCTCCAAAATTCTATACAGCTGTTCTAATAAAAGGATGGACCATAGGACTCAGTTTACTGTAAGGATTAAATGGGGAATCACAGCCGCGTCTGACATGTCGCACCATCGTCTATTTTGGTCTCTCTCCTGGGAGCATGCTCTGTACAATTTTGCAGACTGCTGACAATATTTCTTTAATTAGGTCCTCCTACCCCCATGCATAGTTTAATCAGCATCTACAGTATGAACCCTTTAGAGATGGTTTAAATAAACCTTGGCATTCCTCAAATCTCAAAACTTAGCAGTCCCACATAATCATGGAATGATAAGTTGGAAGCAATCTAAGCGAGTCTTTGCAAATCTTTACTTTGAGTGATCGTATAGTATTCAATCATGTTTTAGATGGAATTGGTTACATATATTTGGCTGTCAAAGAGAAATCTAAAGTTAGGACACATCGAAAAAGCAGTTCAAGATTCCCCTCGCAATACACTGCTATCTATTACCTCAAGAAGTCTTCTTCCTAAGTTGTGCGCTGGGAACTGACATTTTCAAAACATAGCAAATCAGACCAGATAAAAATCAACCACATTAAAAAGGGATTTATTTATTTTAATGTAATTATTTGTTAACATGATATTCATGCATGCCATATCATGTGTAAGGTTAAATACATTTTCATTGCATTTGCTCTACGGAGAAATAGAAAGTCTATCTAAATTGTAAATTTATTATTATTAAATTTCTATTTACTGCTCGCTGGACAGGAAAAGCACAAATCTGCTGTTTAGGAGGAGCTAAGCATGAGTGGCAGTAATTTCTGGAATGCAGTGCAGTAGGCACAGTGAAGCCAAGCATGCCAGGCTCTGTAATCCTATGCTGGCAGAACATATGAGTTTATGTGCACTGTCTTATCAGAGAGAGATACTGTGAGGATTGATTTTTCAGCGATAAATAATACCTGTGCTTACAACAATATTTTTCTCATATGTTTTTAAGTTAAACCTGATGTTAAGTACTCTTATCCTAGGTATTCATTTTTCCAGTGTGCATAACCAGTTGACAGAGCTGATTTTCTAGCAATGTATACAATGTGTTTAAGACGTAAGATGGAAATACCAGAAGGGATCTGAGGCCAAGATGTTGAATACATCATATATTACTATTTTAATTACTTATTAATATGGCTGATGATTTTATCCAGAATTGACTTACACTTGTACTATTGAAAGCAGGACATTGTTGATCCAATTTAAGTACCTTGACTGACAGGAGTGTCCTACCTGCGATTTTTGAATGTATTGCCCAGAGTTCATTCAATAGAGGGGTTGGATAAACAATTTACAGTTAATGTAATATATTATGCAGCGTTATTCCAAACCAGAAAGGTAAACTGTAAAACCTATACTTTGCAATTCTGTAGAGAGTAAGCTAACAGACTGCAGGAGACTCCATAAACGTTTCACAAATTATACAATGGGTGAAAAAATACAGCTTATAATGCAATATGGACAATCACAGAACATGAGGCATAATGCTCACACTCATACTCATAGTATGGTAAAAGCACCAAAACAATATAATTAAAAGCAAAATATAGTATCAAATAAAAATATACAGTGTAAAAGAAGCACATTTGTAATTGCTCATTGAGAATTATAAAATGAACAGCCCTGTTTAGAAATAGTTTCCTTTACTGACAGCTTTAAAATATTAAATATTGCAAAGTTTTAACAATCCATTGGAAAAAAAAAAGGTTCATCTTTAAGGTCGCAGAGCTCATTTGAACGATGTGACATCTACTTGACTGTCAGCAACACATCAAGAAACTGAACCTCACCAATAAATGCATAAACCCAGGTGTGGCATTTGTATTATATGTAGTAAACGGGCAAATTACAAAGCTTACTCTCTCTGTGATATGCCATTACTTAATTGTTTCAAAATAATCATGAGTGCTTTCTATTGAAAATACTATTTTTCTGTTCCCACTAATGTAAAATACCATTTCTTAAACACTATAACTATTTGCAGACCTTACTATACAGCTTGTTATTAATAATACAGATTATACAATATTATTGGGGGATGCCAAAGTGCCATGGTTGCCTCATAGCACATGGGACATGAGTTCAATTCCAGACCTGGGGTGGTATTTGTACAGTATATTCTCCCCATGTTTACATGGGTTTCCTCTGGGTACTCCAGTTTCTTTCAGGAGCCCAAAGGCATACAGTATTGATAGGTGTGTGTGTGTGTGTGTGTGTGTGTGTGTGTGTGTGCGTGTGTGTTGTGCCCATTGCTTGAGGGGATAAGCTTTACCTCCCTCACAACAAAATGATGTACTGCATAAAGTGATTAGAAAACAGAAGGATTACATTGCTGGCACAGCATTATTAATAAGAAAAAAGCAATATTTCAGTTTTCAAGATTTACTGCCATCTGGAAATTCAAATTCAGTTTTTACTTTCTGCTGCTTAAGCTTTCCAATGCATTCAAGACTCATCGTTCATTAACCTGTAAAAATATTTTGAAATCCAGCATGCCAGCCAGATACAGTAAACAGTATTCACATTGAATTAATCACAGCATTGTGATATCTGCGATGGGTGAAGGCTTCTTTTCATGGGTTTTTATATGAAAAATATTCAGGGGCTTTAAACAAAAAACAGAAAACAAAGCTTTGAGTTTCAAAGATCCGACTAGTATTCAATTCACATAGCGCATTGCCATCTCTGATTCAGAGGTGAGAATATCCAATTAACTCACCAGACAAAAAGGAGAAAAACTCATTTCTGGAAAATGGCAAACTGATTCCTTTTATTTAATTAATGTGGATCTTGATTTTTTGTGATCAATATGCTACTGCTGATATGAGCTTTAGAATGAAACGCATACTGTGCAACATTATCTTCCACAACCTAAATGTTAATTGAAATGGGTCTGTGGGACATTGTGCTGATTCCTTGTCATTCTTACCCAGTGTGCAATCAAAATTCTAGACACAATTCATTGACAAAAATGCATTCTGCCTAATATCAAATACTGTTTCCAGAGATATTCTCAAGAATTCACACGCAACAGACTCAGCGAAACAAAGCAGTGAAAAAGAAATACTCTTGAATTTTTAGGGAAGATGATTCACTTTGAAAGTAAACTGAATAACTTAGTATAAAAGCGTGAGAGCTGAAACAAAAGATCCTCTTTCCTACTGTACATGAAATAATCAGTTCAGTAAGAAAATATCTTCCAAATACAGCCAAAAAAAATGTAATGATTAGCAGCAAATATAAAACCTTCAATTAATTACAATAGATTGCATTTCCAACCCATTTGAGTATGCTTAAGTGATTTGAAAAATATATTCAGCAACACAGAACTATAAAAGATGTTATGTGAAAAGCTTAAAACAATGGAATGACGGCTTTGAAACCAACACGAGAGCATAACACTCACACTCATACTCATTGTATGGTAAAAGCAGCATTCTTATTCCGTTATTTTCTGTATCCAGTAATTATATGGCAAATGTGTACATGCTGTTTCAACTCTTTATTGGCAAATCTTGTCTCTACAATGCTGAACAGAGTTAGGTGTGCAGGGAAAACGGCGATGAGAAAATTCACATTTTTTAAATGAAATGTGCTAATACATACGCCCTCACGGAAACATGCAAACGCAAAGTTTTGTCAATTCCATATCTGAGATAGTTTACGGAAATGATTAAAAAAAATACTTGTAAATGTGCAGCATGAAAAAGGTAGAGCCCCAGAGTATACTGTAACATGCTGTCCATTTGGAAACCTCTTTGCAAACTCCAGCAATTACAGAAGAGTGACCTAACAGCACAGTGTGAAATGTAACACTGGCTTGGTTTCCCCTTTAAGAAATGCCTTTGGTCTTAGTGTGAGTTATGAACTCTAGGCTGGTCTGGGACACTGCTGTGCCCAGATTTGACAGGACAGATCTTACAGTCTGTAGCAGCTGTCTGCAGGCATTTGGGGTGCGGCAGCACTTGCAAACGAAGAACAGAGACTTTTGACTGCTTCACACAAACCCCTGCCCATTGTGTGGTGCTGCTTCTTTTGCCTTCTCCAGCCTTCAGCATTCTTCCTTGTCTTAATCGGAGTCTCTGGAAGAGCCATGGCAGAGCAATACCACACTAACGAGGAGAAAATTCAAAAAGACAGCCACACCAAGGAGATAGACTTGGTCAACAGGGACCCGAAACATATCAATGAGGATATAATAAGGGTAAGGGATAAGCTTTTCCACTTCTTCATTTGGGAAACTGCTGATACCTACAGTTTCAAAAGTGGATGTTATTAGAATATGTTTTTAAAAGATAACATGCACACATGTCATTTGTTGTATTTAAAGGTCCTGTCCTTTATAGCACAGAACCCAAAATAGCTTGAGGCCTGTTTTACTTCTATGGTTGAATCCTGCAGTTTTATTTATGGAAAAAAAATGAGAGGGAGCCATCATGTATTTTAATAGGTCTTGTTGCAGAGTAGAGGGCGCACACACAACACATAGAATTGCTTATAATTTCCCCTACATTTTAATGATACATTTTGAAAAAAGTAGAATATTAATGGCAAATTGGGAAGACACCTATAGGGGAAATTCTAAATTTCAGAAAATGACATTGATTGCATCATACAGGCTTGGTTTAAGTACAGTATGCTATTTAGTAGATATTAGGTAATATAATTTCCTTCAAGTGAATTCTGTTAAGTGTGCAGCGTTTTCCTGCCCTGCTTTGTTTTTCAAACTTTAATAGTCTGAAACAAGTCACTAGGTTACAAACTCAGTAATGGATAATAAAAACGTTTTGTAGTAGCATTACAGTATATAAAGTGCATAAAACTGTAATACAGTCAAATATACAGTATGTTACTGAATATTAAATGCCACACCCTTTTCAGCCTTGTAATAAGATACTATAAGTGGAAGCCTTTACAATATTAGGAATACAAATCTACACTTCCGTACAAGGAGTTAAGGAAACCTGACAATGCTCTGTTTCTTTGATATTCAATACTTTTTATTTTGGTCTAGTAGCCATAAAGATGATTTTAAATTTAAATTGGGAAAAATTGCTTTAATCTGCTTTTTGAATATAAATCTATCCCATATGGTCCTTGCCCCAAGAAGTGTAATATACATTTGTGGTTTAGGTTACACATATTCTTTTTGTTTACAAGTAATGTAAAGCATATATTGGGGGGAGAAAAAGTAGTAGAAGTGGTGCCAGATTTTAAAAAATACACTTATCGCACAACCCATTTAAAATATTTACTTAAGTGCAAACTTGAGTGCAACTGAAAACTTTCACCTACGTTTTTACTCATGATCAGCCCATAAGACATTATACTATCAAACCTATGACCAACTAGAAGGAATTCTAAAAGAATTTAGGAAGTTTAAAGTTTATTTTCTATTCTTCTTGTGCAGGTTTTTATCACACATTAAAATGAGCAATTGTGCTTTTACTTACATTTTTATAAAATCCAAAAGAGGATCAAGATAAGAAAAACTTTTTGGGACACTTAACAAATAGAGAAATTCAACAGTTTTTAACCCACTACTGATCTCTACTTACAGTAAATATTACTAAGTAGTTTTGATGAGAACAATGTGGTAAAAGCATGGATTATCCTGTTTTGCACCTGTTGCTTGCCAGGGTAGGCTCCTGAACGCAACCATAATGGATATTCCATGGATTATACTTTACAAAGAGTGTGGATTATAGAAATATACAAAGATTTGTATAAAATGTACAAGATACCTGCAGGGAGTTTTTAAAACATCGACTTCAAAAACTGCAATGCAGCCAACAGCGCCAGCTTTGTAATACTCATTGAAAACTCTCAGCTGTTAGTTTTGGGTGGGGTCCAAAGACTGCTTTCATTTCCTGTTCCAGCCCCACACTCATGTGTGAATATGATTAAATAAATAAAACGGTCAAGCTCTCGCATAAAATGAATATATATTGATGGTGTCATGCTGGTGAGTAGTCATTTTTGCTTCAAACAGAACACGCTTCCTATTGACAAGGTTTATTTGTCCCCCAGGTGGATTTTGAAGATGTGATAGCTGAACCAGATGGAACACACAGTTTGGATGGAGTGTGGAGGGTCAGCTATACAACCTTCACTGTCTCTAAGTACTGGTGCTACAGAGTGCTGTCTGCCATCTTTGGTATTCCTGTCTCCTTGCTGTGGGGCTTCCTCTTTGCTTGCATCTCCTTCTGCCACATCTGGGCAGTCATGCCATGTATCAAGAGCTACATGATCGAAACACAATGCATTAGCAGAGTCTACTCACTCTGCATCCATACCTTCTGTGACCCCTTGTATGAAGCAATGGGAAGGGTCTTCAGCAGTATCCGAGTGGCTCTCCGCAAGGAAGTGTAGATCACAGCTCTCCAGGATCGGCTTTGGATTCAGTAATCATCACTATTTTAATGATTTCAATGGCACACGCCCACTTCAATCATGGGACATTCAGTGTAACTGGGGGATTCTTTTAAAAACTTCTACAGCCTTTTATTGCTGTCAGCAAAAGAACAATTTCTCTTCAGTCAATCCCAATGCAACTACACAGTTGACATCACTGCTTATAACTGTCCTGTTACTATCCACATTATTTAAAAAGTGTTATGGTGAATCACATAACTATAACTTAAAATTGGTTAATAACATTATTCATGTAATGGTTCCCCCAGAAATTGCCAAATTAATTTAAGTGCAATATTTTGAGAACTTAATAAATAATTTTGCATTAAATTGGATTTACTTCTTGTTAATATTCATTTCCTTTAAGTTGTAAAATAAAAAATGTATATAACTTCAGTTTCAAAAATCTTACTCTACAGTTTTTCCATAATTGTTGATTTCATGTGCAACGTGTGTAGAAAAATATAATAATCAGAGAAGGTGATTCATTTATCAGTGCTTTCCTACCAATGGTCCACTTGTTACATTCACCACCAAGTTATTTCAACCCTTAAACGGAATAAATTCAAATTCATGTCTCAGATACAGATCGGTATTGTTTATTGTTTTTTAGTGCCAGTCGTGGTTGACCTGAACAGAATATTATACAAATGATACATTGGTAAGAATACCTTGATAAATTAAGTTAGTGTTGTATCCTGTGCCGTATTCTCAGCATATTTTTATTTACTGAACAGTTAATTTAATTAATGTTTGAAAATAACAATATTAAAGAAGTATTTATACTGTAGTGCTACTACATTTTCTTCATTTGCCTGTGTGCAAATGCTACCTGTGTTTTTCTTAGTAACGCAATACTATACACTTTACAAATGACTACAAATATCCCATGATGCAAGTGTGAACTTCCTTAAAAAATGCCAGATAAACAGTGGCATAAAAAGAACAAAAAATGCTAAACTGGTGGATCATACCTTTGCCATTAATTAATAAATGCAATTAATTGCATGCATTTGATCTAAAACTCCACATTGAACAGTGTACAGAAGAGTGTAATAGGTTTCAAATAAGAGGGGGCAATCTGGATTGTTCTGTTGCTAGTAGTTTGTTCACCTAAGGATTTGATTACTGTAGACAGTTATTTCTTGAATGATGTCAGGGAATTAAAGTCAACACCAGTGGACTGTGTTGAAATTTGTATTCAATAAATATGTTATTTGTTCAGACTGCAGTAAACCAGACCAGTATTTCCTTTTCATTCAACTTTACACAGATCAGCTTAGATGTTCCACTGTAACCATGGACGATAGTTCTAACACAGACTCCTTCAATAACTTACTGCTACTAACTGCTAATTGTGATTATCAAGCACCAGGAAGCCAGAGGGTATCTGGTTATGAATACGATTTAACCCTTTAAAATACAAAGAAGAACATTTGATTTTCATCCCACAGGCTTTGACTACCACTGTACAACATGACAATAGTAGTTTTTGCAATTGAGATGGCAGAACAGGTCTGTCAATCCAAAATTACCCCAAAAGTGAAAGGTAAGGTGCAGATGATATGAATGTTCTATATAAAAAAGGGGAACAACTATCTGAACCTTTGAAAAAACACTTGTGCCACATTACAACCCACTTTATTTTGGATCTAAACACCAAATACGAGCATATTTGGTCATGTGAAATCAATGGCATTCACATTTACACTTTGTTATTGAAGCGTATTATTAATGATTCAGGTTACTCTAGAAGTGTGTGTGAGATAAC